GCCAAACAGTCCCAGCACTGGGTGTCTCAGTGCCAGGCTTGTGGCAGGGCTGACCTGCCCGGCTCCAGCAGGGAGGTGGCAACGGAGGTGCGACTGAGGAGCCCAGCACTGCAGGGACTGGGACACAGGAGCTTCAGAGGTGGCCCCAGCTCTGACACCCTGTATGAAGAGCAAACGTTTCCTGCCTAATAGTGTCACTGGAGGATTCCTTGTCCAGCTGCTGCTGTGTTTCACGGTAGATGCTGGAGTAACAAAACACTTCCCAGGGCCAAATTTCACCAGGCTCCTCTGCTCTTCCTTTTCACTTTGCATCCTGCATCTTCTCTCTGTTTACAGCCAAAGGCCTCAGTTATCTTATCAGGACTCCAATCACCCAGACATCTGAGTATCAAGTGTAATTAAGTTTGTGCTCTGGCTTGCACTCAGTTTAGCTTGGAATGCCGCAAGATTTGTCCTTGTGACAAGTGGCCCAAGTGATCTAGTAAACTACTTTCCCCATTAAAGAGATGATCAATGCTTGTGCTAGAGATTTTGATGCAGATACAGAACTATGACTGATCTTCTTGCCTCTTCAAAACAAAATTTTTCTCTGCAGGGTGCTAATATCGGAGTAATTGCACTTACTTCATTTATCTCGGGTTCTAGTTCCTCTGTAAAATAAAAAGGAATGACCTGAAAAGTAAGGGAAAAGATTTTTCCACTCCAACCCTCCTCCAAATCTTTTTGTGGGAAACACAACTGTGTTTTGAACGCTAAATTCACAGATTTAAAAATACTTATCTCAAGCAATGTTGCCTTGGCAACATTATCTTCTCTCCTTCCCCACCCTCCATATGTGAGGAACATTTTCTTCAACTTTTTTTTCTTTTTCTTTTTTTTCTGCATGTGGTAGTTCCTCTTCTCCGTCTGCTACCACCAAAAACCTGGCATTGCATCCTAAAAGATGTCAAACAGGCCTCTTGTTTAGTTGAGGAGTCATTGCTAAAAAACAGTCCTGAGCTTAGCTAGAGAAAGATGCCAATATGGGTGCAGACACTCAGGCTACAGAGAAACACGCCTGAAATATTTGCCAGTAATTCTTGCTTTGGACGAGTGGAAAGAAACAGCAAGAGCTGCCATGACAATCATAACAGTTCTGTTGCCTGGTGGCAAAACTCACTAATGATGAAGATTTGCCTTCTCATTAAAAGCTTCTTCTTCCTCTTCTCCCAGTCACTCTCAATAAAAGGGATGGAGAAGTGGGTGAGGTGCTGGGTGCCCGAGGGCTTTCAGGCACATATTATTCTACCCCATTCCTTTTGCCCCAAAGCTGTAAGAGGATCCCAGTAAGAAAGGAAGCCAATAAACCACAGATTTCAACCTGCTGATCAGGATGCATCTACATCCAAGCATTCCTGCTGCCAAGGAATCCTTTTTTTTTTTTTTGGTAGCACTAACAGAAGCCTTGGGAAGGCCAAGCCATGCCCAACTGACAGGTGAGACTGTACAGACATCTCCTACTGCTGGTGGAAGAATGTGTGCACAGTAACTCAGAAGGAAGGGAGGTAATTCTAGTTAACTGTGACATTACCAATATGTTCATGAGCAAAACATGAACGTGATAGACATGTTGTTCCCCCAGTTCATGCTGCCAGCAGCCCCAGCTCCATATAACTGCACAGTTAAGAGGGAGATTGCAGAGGACCTGCCCAAGATGTTTTAAATTAGTAAATGCCCACTCTGCCCAACAAAAACCACTTTGTTTTTCAGGCAGTGGGTCAGCACCTGCCCTGGCCATCCTTTCTGTTTCAGCATGGAAAGTAAAACATAGTCTTGAGCCCTGAACTGCATGCTACACCATCAGCTCTTTGAGAGAGACACTGCTGCCTTGCAATAATGGCTCTATATGCAGGTTAACTAAGACCTAGAGGTAACGCCATCTGTGGCTATTCTGGAGATGAAGGAAGGCAGCTGCAACACGCTGGTTACTCTGCCAAAAGTTTTGTCAGCAGCTGTCCCAGAAAACCACCACTGCAAGGGGCAAAAGCGTAGGGCTTTGTGGGCCAGAAACAGGCACGATAATCAATTAGCACTGACCCAAGTGCTCCCAGCACCTGTGCTGGCTGCCTGCTTCTGAGAGCAGCAGGTTGCACAGGCACAGAGATATATTTAGCCTCTCACCTTCCATTACAGCTCACGGTCCTCTGCAAAAGCTCATTCTACAGTAAAAGTCCAGGGAATGAAATGACAGCTTTTCTGTAGGCTTTTCTAAGCCATCCTGTAATTTGTGAAGTAGCTGTCTGCTGTAGGACAGGAATCTGAAGCATAAAAAGCAACAACTTTATATGTTATAGAAACAACCTCTTCCTCTTGGCTTTGTTTCCAGACTAAAGCATATCTCTGCAGGTTGCAATGCTGCCTCCATCTCCACTTCAGGGCCAGCAGGAATCTCTGGGCCTTAGAAGTACCCTTAGGGCAAGGTCTAGGAGCAGCAAGATGGAAAAGACAAAACCATTCTCTACTGACCAGACTTCTGAGACTGGTGATTCTGGTGCCTGCTGTAGTGCAAGCTCTGACTCAAGCTTTTTCATAGCCTAACAGTGCATTGGCTTTGGCTGCAGCTTTGTGACACCTCTAACAAACTCTCTTTCCTATACCCTGTCACTTTTTTTTTTTTTCTTTTATAACATCTGTAGGAACCTAACATTTGAGGTTTCAAGCCCCCACCTCTGTCAAATGCAGCTGAATAGATCTCAAAGGCTCAGAAATTATTTTCTGTAGGAAGAGGAAAAAGGGCAAATGGATAGACATAAAGGAAGGGGACACCCTGTATGCACAGAGGCCCGCCTTAGGGCATGCAGGACAAGGGGAAAGTGGAGAAATTCGATAAAACTTGTATTTCAAGTTTCCAATCAAAAATATATTAAGACTCTATGAGGAAGCTCTGAACCTTGCACATTCCCATACCAAAAAGCACTTCTGCTGCATAAGAAAAGGAGACACAGCTGGGCTGAAAAACGTGACAGTGAATTCTGTAACTTACTGTGTTTGAAATGATCAGTACAGAAAGAAGGAAGAAGGGGAGCTTATGGACTTTGGCAAGCAGCGTGGCCATGACCTCAGTGCCACCCCAAGCAAGGACCTTCCTTCCTCACTGGGCCTTGTATCCTGCTCCCCTCGTTTCTTTGAGTGCTCAACACGTTTCTGTAACTGATGATCTAGGGTCTGCAAGAGACCAGTTTTGAGAAAAAACAAATTAAACGTTGCCTTTCCCCAGTACTTTGGGACATGTTCTCCTCTCAAAAGAGTCACAGACCTCGAGCATCGGTTTGGCTGCTGGCCTGCACTGTGAGTGCAGAGATCATAACAAATTACACGGAATTCTTCTTTTTTTTCTTTTTTTTTTTTTTGTTCCTGTACTTTTAAAGTAACTGTCAGACAGTAGTTCACAGGTGCAGCTCAAACAAGGCAGAGAAATAGTGTAACAGAAATCTGGACAATTATTTTTGAGAAGGCTTCCTAAAAAGCTTTTCAGGCATGTTTGAAACTTTACTCCTACCATGTGACTACAAGAAAACAGATCTTAGAACCTCCATTTTATGACAAAGTAGGCTATTCCTAGGCTGGTTCATAGCAGGGACAGTGCTATTTTATCTTTTTTTTTCCTAAGAAGGCAGTTACTTAGCTTCCGTTTGGCCTCCTCTGCAAAGGATGCTTTAAAGTAAAATCCTTTAGCACACTGATTTCTCCAGAAGGTCTAAGAAACATCTGCAACCTTCAAGAAAAATAGGCGTTTTGCATAAGCAGTGAAGCAAAGCTTAACATGAATTGCCATCTGGGGACATGACCAACCTTCAGTTAAATGGAGGTCAGAATAGCAAGTGCTCTCTTGCAGTTCATTATAAAAATCAATGCAAGAGAGACACAGAAAGCTAAGCCCCTGCAACCCTCCTTTTCTGCCCAGCAGAAAATAAAAAAGAGCATCTCCATGTTACCTCTCTGCCAACATGCACTGAACTGAACTGAAACTCCACAGCTCCCTCAAAAGCAGAACTGTTACATTCAACCCAAGAGCAGAAGTTTCCTTGCCTGGTGCCCACAGAGGCTGGAAGCAGATGTTAACTCCAGGAGCAGACAGCTCCCACCACCCGGCTTTGGGGTGGGAAGAGGGCAAGGAACTTGAGCTGACAGAGGAGCCAGGCCGTGAGGAAAAGACTTACCAAGATCAGGTGAAAGATGATGTAAGGGAAAAAGAACAGGAACAGCTGGAAAGGACGCTGGATGGCAATGATATTGAGGAAAGGGGTAACAGGTACAAGCCATGCATGGAGCTCTGAAAAATCTGTAGCTGGTCTATTCCGGCCAAGAGGGAGCGAAAGCAGCAAGGAAGAGCACATGGCATGAGAAGCTACTTTGGCTGGCACCAGTTTAACAGGAGGAAGAAGGTTCTTTGAAAGACCTTTAAGTTATTAAACACAGTATTGATTCAGAGCCCTATAAAATATGCACTCTCCATTTCCATTATTTGCATGGCCAGACTCATGCTGACCCAACGCTGAGTTATTTACAAGCATCTCTCATCATTTCTGAAGCTGATTAAATTAGACACTGCCCTCGGAACTGCCAGGTTGGAGAATCCTTTTCTTCAGGCTTTGTTCTGTGGTTTTATTTCACTTCATTATATTATCACTGATGCTTCTGTGTTCTCAGAGGCCAAACCAATTTTATTTCTCCTAGTTTACGAGCACTTCTTTTACAACCCCGCAGCATGGCAAGAATACATGGCAAGAGCTGGTCGTGCTATTCCCACCCCACTTTATTTCTCTCTTTTTCTCTATCTCACACACACTCTCACACATTTCTCACAAGATATATCTGCTCCTTTTGACAGTTATAGCTCTAGCTGAAGGGAAGGAAATATACTTAGAATAAAAATACCTATATTTAGAGAAAGACTTTGTCCTTGTGCCTCCAAGGTCTTTCTAGCTGGGATCCATAAAGCAATCCCCATGCAGAGCCTCATATCCAGCTCTGGGTGCTGTTGGAGAGGTGCTGGACTAACCAGGAGCCTGCTCTTTGGTTAGCTGGCATCTGGCAGTGAAGAGACAGAGAAAAACACTGCAAGGTTTTATTGCTTCCTTTGCAAGAGTATAGCTAGAGATCCAAAAGCAAGTGTAAAAAAATGCAAACAGATTACATCTATTTTAATATGACCATTAGTTGAGTTAGAAAAAGTACCCACAAAGGGGAGTGTAGTTAAGAACATGGAAAGTAACAAAAAGTGGATGTAAAATTCCTTGGCTGAGTCAGTGTGCTGCCAGCACCAATCCCTCTAAAGACTTTGCCCAGAACTTGAGACTGCTGGCACTTTCAGCCCTCTGTTTTGCTTGCTCTTAACTTCTCTTAGACACCGTTATCCAGGCTTCCTCCTTTGGTGATGTTACCAGCTCATATTTGGTCTCCATGACTTGTCCTTTCACTGGGTGGAGGTACAATTTCCTTACCAGAACACTCAGCAGAACTGTAGCCACCATATAGGCAAACCTGAGGGAGGAGAAGAATGAGAATAAAAAAACAGCTTCGATGTCAATCTGCCAAAGGACAACTGCCAGCTCGGCCAGATTGTCTCAGCAGTAACAGGAATGGGCTGAAATGACCTTCCCTCCCCTCTACTACAGAGAGGCACACAGACCTCTTTCCTTATGCTCACCTCAATTCCGGGCACTCCTGGCTTCCTGAAAAACCTAACACGGAGAGATTTTTCATGGCTGATTCTTCATTGAATCTCTCTGGGTCAAATCTATGAAAGACAAAATGCAGTGAGACTTTCTGTGTAACTACACGATCCTTCTCCTGGGTACATTTGCACACGCACAAGAGTAAGAAACTGGCAGTGAAAGAGAAAATCTCACTAATTTAATAGCAGCATCAATCCAATGCCTCTTCCATCTAAATCATGACGGGTAATTCCACAAACATATGTGAAGGTAATTGTCCCTGCACTCCATCTACGTTCCAAGCTGGCCAGCTGTGTCCCAGCTTAGTTCAAAAGCGGAGAAACTGAGGTAGTGTGACACAGGGCTGGAGCTCTCATGCCCTGCCTCTCAACAGAGGGTGCTTAGCTTGAGCACACAGCTGAGCTGATGCTGCTACCTGCCCTCTCTTCCCCCTGGGGAACATGCCACAGGCAATCTGATCTGCATCCCTCCCTCCTGCTTCCAAAAACATTTCCCTTTTCTTCTTGCCCCTCAGCCTTCTCATTAGGCAGCTGGTGTGTGGATGTGGATGTAGATGTGGGGGAGGGAAGCTGGTGACTCATTCAAGTGAGAAAAGTGCCTTCCAGCATTAGGTTGGCAGAGGCTGAGAGAAAACTATTATCCAGGGCTGGCATGAGTTAAAATGAAATTCCCATAATAAATTAACCTAAAGGAGACTAATAAAATATCATTTAATTTCAACACAAGACACTACAGAAGAAAAAATAAACCAGGCAACTTGGTGGCTGGAGGGCAGTTCTCTTTCATTTTGTGCTAAATCCTTGCACTTCCACTTCAGACCTTTGGCTCCCTACTCGAACACTGAAAAACTGGAGCCCTGCTTCTGTGAAAGTCAAAAGGTAGGATGGTGCTGACCCTCAGCAGAGGCAGCATCCAGGACATATTACTGCTGAACTGGCAAATTACAAAAGTCTAACAAATAAGAGAATGCAGCTGTCTAGTAGAAAAAAAGCCAAAAAACTAGAGGACAAATGGGCTTACACAGTGTTTTCTGTACAGCAGGTGGGTGAAATGAAGTGCTGATTTCCTATCTGTGTCACATACATACACAGCTTCAGGCTCAGGCACAACCTCCACCCTTCTCCTTAGGATAAGGAGGTTTTGCTCTCAGCCTTCCTCTCCTGGGTCCTGCAGGACCTGCCCCAGGCACAGAGCACGTCCCATCCAAGGGGGCGACTTCAGGCAAGCAGTGCCTGACCCTCTAGCAAGAGCTACATTTGCAGGAGATGAAAATGCCGTTCTCAGGGCTCCTTTCCTTCTCCAAATCACAGCTGTCCCTTCCATTTCTCTAGAATAACTGAACTACATTTTTTTTCCTAGTGTAAGCAAAGTCAGACAAATATCAATATTTGCCACCTGGAGGCCATTGTAAGCTACAGCAGGGTTTGGGCGTTTTCATTTTGTTTTTATTTTTAATTTAATCTCCAAAATACCGGCCTGGATTCAGGTTTGTTTTCACATACAGAAGTAATGAGGGAGCATTTCCTTCCCCATGCAAAGCCCAAGCTTCTGACTGACATTTCCTCCCTTGCACCATTGTATCACGGTAACACCCAGTGATTCCAAACCCATTCAAATCACTTTTTTCTCTCAAAGAATATCTTGAAAATAATTCCTTAGCATTTGCCAGGGAAACACTGTGTATGCAGTGGAAAAAGGAAAGAAAAAAGAAAATCAAAACTCAAATCTGTTGTCAAACTATAACACACACACTGGAGCCTGGGAGGATTGCAACCTGAAGTGCAATAGAAGTCCTGCCATGTAGATAAGCAAATCAACATCTTCATAGATTTTCTTATGGACTCCCATCTCATGTCCAAAATCTGTATAAGGTAGGTCCTGCAACCCAAAAGGCTGTGCATAGAATTAAGATCCCAAGAATATTTATTAAAATAAAAAAAAAAAAAAGGAAAGGAATTAATGGTAATAAAGGTCCTGATTCTACATACTTGTATGGTGAAGGCCAAGATGAACTATCCTGCAGCATCACACCCAGAGCATAAAGCACAAGTGTCTGTAAAATAAATCAGGACATAAATCACAGTAGGAAGAAAAGCACAGTTAAAGGTATCTCTGGATTATCCTGATGGAGGAGGATTATTCTTTGGACCACTCATATTTAACAGGTATTTTAAAAATACCTATAAAGATAAAATGCATCACGGATTTCTACAATCCATGCCCACAGGTTAGGATTTTAACTTCCAAGACCCATGCTGCAACTCTGGGTGGTTATAAAGGGCCAGATCCCATTATCCCACTCTTAGTAGCATGTATGTATGGAGCCCTTCCATTCTCTGCAATGGAAGGTACCATTCTGCGTGGGAAATACAGGTGATGTGATCAGCTGAAGTCATGCTCTTTTACACACAACGGAGCCCAGAGACCTCTTCAAAAGACAAATCAACACTGATGGAGCCCAAATTGGAAACAAATCTGAGAATATGAGCTCCCAGCACTTCTCTACAGAGCAGCAGCATGGCAAACTTTGAGCTGAATGATGCTGTCAGACAACAGACTAACTGCTCAAGTTTAACAGTATGAAAATATACATTTTCTGCCTCACCCCTTCACTGGAAGAACAAACAGCAAATTCCTCTCCAGGAAGAGAAGGTAGCCTGGTGCTCCCAGCACTGACCTACCTCTTTTGGGATAGTATGTTGGTCAACTCTGCCCTCCAGCTCCTGCAGCTGTGCAGCAATGGGAGTAAGTTTTGCTGTTCGCACTGTCTCACACAGGACTTGCCGACAGTATCTGCAACCAGCCGTCAGTTTAGTTATCAGGTTAGTTAAAACATTTGGCTATAAGCTTTTAAAGATTATTAAAATTTATATTTGGCCTGCCTTTTCCAGATTTTAAATGGAATTAACCTTAATTTTAAACCAAATTAACACTAAAAAGGCAAAAATACGCCAGTCACTTTTCTAGATATCTCACCAAGAAACAGCAGGACACTCCCTGCCACCACATTGCACTGCTTTACTGAAACCCTAACATTAGCCCAAGCATAAAACTCACCCAGTTGGGCATCAGATGCACCCAAGTAAAGGCACGCTGTTCACCAGTCTTCTAAACTACGTTTAGTTTTGTGTCCCTTCAGAAAGTTTCTTCTGTGCTCTTTTTTGAATTCCTCCAACATGAATCCCACTGTTTCCATTAACATCTCTCTCACAACTGATGGGCTCCTGAGAGCACTCAGCAGTAAAACAAAGTCCTTCTTGCTTCCTTTCTGAAAATGTAACCTTACAGGAGCTTGAAGGAGAAAAAAACCTTGTCCTTATCTGATCCTAGCCATATGGTCCATTCTAAGATCAGGAAGAAATGTCAGTTCTCATTTGTTCCCTTCTGCAGTCCCAACTCACGTACACCACATGAATGGTATGTGCCCCAAAACTGAATGTCTCTGAACTCTCCCATCCTGAGCCCTACACAGAGAACAGGACAAAGATGGCATTTTCAAACCCTTCAGTTGCATTGGTGCAGTCACTGGTATATCCAGGATTCACTGGCGGCTAATGGAAGACATTCTCCAGGGTTTGTTTTCAGACAGCCAGGGCACTATCCCTGTGCTCTCTTCCTCTGCAAAGAAACCTAAAGAATTTATTCTATATACTTGGAATGGAGCAGCCTGAGCCACCTGTGTGAAGCCCTACAGCAGAGAGCTGGTCTGTCTTGCAACTCATTCAGTGGTTTGATTTTTTTCCAGAATAAAATGGAGTAGCTTTTGGATGCCTCCTCTTGACTCAGCCTCCAACACATGGAGCTCCTGTCTCCATATCATGGGATAACCTCCCTCTCTCATTTCTTCTAAGACACCAACCTGAGCTGCTCAATCTTCTCGAGCGTAATTGGTCCCTTCCCCACAACACGGTCCACCTCCTTGTAGAGATTCTGCTGGACATCTTGGGAGGTTGTCAGGAAATAGACTGCCCAGGTGCACACTGGGGAAGGAATCAAGACAAAGCAATGCAGGAGACCGAGCTGAGCAGCCTCACAGCTCTGGGGAAGAGACCACACCACCCAGCAGTCAGCCACAGTGTTTCTCTACTCCATCAAACAGCTATGACACTGCAGCAACCAACCCTGGGAACAAGAGTTGTAAGACCAGCTCTTCAGCTGGAAGGCTAGTTTGTTGGGATTATTAGAAAATTCCCTTATTTAAATGTTTCCTTGGCATATGTCACGAGTGCTCCAGAGAGCCAGCACCTGGGCTCCGGACAGGGAAGGACAAGAACAGTACAATTCTCTCTACCAAGGGGTCCAGAATTTTTTTTTCCCCTACATCGCTTCTGTGAGGTACTTGAGAGACTTGAGACATCTCCAATAGCAGAATGGGAAAGAAATCTTGCCTGTGAAACAGGGGTATAGCATGCAGTTGCTCTAAAGCTACAAGCAAACATTTATACTAGTCCAATTTGTCTGTTTACGAGAACTCTCTGGAAATCCCTGAGGAGTTACCCCTCTCAAAACAACAGTCTTTCTGGAAACTGTGAGAGGATATTCTCTGTACCTGGGAAGTTTTCTTTGCAGTTCAAGCCCCACATCTAAGATAAGGGGCCTGATAATCATGGGTTAAGTGCAAATCACTCCCACTGGAGAGTTTACACAACTCCAGGTGATGTTTTAATTTGCCTTTTTTTTTTTTCTCTATAATTTCTGTACAAATCCCAAAGCAACTTCTTTGGAAATCTTTCACATCCGCCCAGATACCAAAGCACACAGACAAATAACAGCATTCTGCTCTAGTTCCCCTCTCAAATGGAAGAAAATATTTTAGGTCATGATCTTTGTGGCTCACATCTTCTAGTGTTATTTCATCTAATTTAGTATCAGCTGGCTGGGATCAGAGTCTAGGTGAAAAGCAGCAGGAGGAAATTCTAAGGTTCACTGAATGAGTGAGGAAGTTGTTGGCCACGGTTTAGCTTCAGCTCACTAACTGAGGCTCTGTCAAGCGTCTGCTCTGAAACTAGCTGCCTCAATACATCTGTAGCTCAGGAGTGACAAGATGACGAGTATTGCTTTGTGCTTGCCTAAAATCAGCCCCATGTCATCAGAGTCGTTATTAGAAAGGTGATTCCAACAATGGAAAGCTACCTGCATTCCGTACTTACAGTTAGCAGTGATTACGCATCCCGCCAAGGAAAAAATCATGGCATCTTCCAGAATCTAGGAAATAAAACCTTGTTCAGGAAATGAAGTCCTTAGGATCGTAAGGAATGTCCTCCATTTGAGCACATGAAATCCCTTTAGCGCAGAGAACAGAAAACCTAGGAGTGGACTGAATTTTCTGTGGCAATTTCACAAGAATGGCACTTGAGGCAGATGCTTAATGCATTAACGTTTTTGTAGCTTATGAAGAAAAGTGACAAGGCAGAGGCAAGGAAAGCTACCAAAATCTCATACAATTAAGGACCGGAGGAAAGAGAACCAAAGAGAAATCCTGTTTTAGTAATGCATCTGGATTGAAAAAGATGCAAAAATTTGAATTAATCAAGGATACAATGTAATTAGCTGCTGCTCTAGCAAAACTCCATTATTCTGTAATGACTAAACAGCTGCACAAACCTGCTGGTCGCTGAGGTTCCCTTGCAGTAAGCTGTCTATGAGGATGTGTCTGTTGAATGATTTGCCTCGACGCTCCTTTATGACTTTCCTTAAAGTGGATTCCATCTCTGTCAGAGCTTGGGACATACAGAGAAATGATTATTTTAAATCCTGAGAGCAGTGCAGGACTGAATTCATCTTCCCAAACAGATTTTCAGACCAGCTGTTGCTGTTGGGCCCACCTACAGAAGCAGCCACTGTGTCAAACATATTAGTATAAATTTGGAAGGTGATATTTCCAAAGCAGTTGAAAATGCAGGAACAAAAGGTCCCCTAGAGACAGTACAGGTACTTTGTGAGCTGAAATGATGTATGCGGAGGACAAGTATCCAAAGGAGAAGCCTGTTTCAGCAGGGCAGTGTTTGGTCTAAGCTGAAACCCACAGAACCAGGAACAGTAAGGAAGGAAACATCTAGTTTGGACGATTTACAAGGAAATGCTACCTACAGACTACTTTCGTTTAACATCTTGTTAATCAATACTGAAAAGTCTTCGCTATTAACAACTGCAAAAAGAGGGCAACTGAAAAATAAAATAACCCACTGTGAAATACTACAAGAAGCACAAGTGCTGCACACTTGTACACACCTGAAAAATACACCTGAAAATCATAGGTAACATTGAAATAGCACATCAGAGACTCACATGGAAGGTACCCATTGAAACTGTCCTTCTGTATGCCTGACTTCTAGCCTAAAGAGACTAAGATCAGCCTGGCAGCAAACTCATTGAATGGGGCATCATAAGAATAGCCAACATAACAAGGAGCCTAATTTGTCTCCATCTAGCACAGCTGACTGCCTCTAACAGAGGTCAAAAGCTAGGCAAGAGACCAGGAAGGGAGCAAGCACACTCCAATACTGCCTGGGATTCTACTCCAGACCCTAGTTCTGGCCCTGCAGACCTTTCTGCACCATGACATCCTTGACACTCAGCTGTGAAACAGCAATATCCCCTGATCTCCTGTGGGAGCGGGGAGGACACATCTGGTCACCTAGGGCAGGGTGATCAGCTCTGCAAAAAAGCATTATTGGCTGGGCAAATTAAGTGCTTCCATATGCTAGCTAACTACATGTACCAATCCAAGCAGACTGGGAGGAGTTAGAGATTTTGGGAGTAACCTACCATCTTCATACAGCTTCTTCCTAGTCATGTTTTTGTCAAGGGACCCATCCAAGAAACCTTTCCCAATCTCGAACCAGATCTGAAAGACAAAAGACTGTCACTCAACACAAGCAGAGACCGTTGGGACACTTTCACTCTTTCTCATTCAGAAAAATAAGCACATACACACATAAAAAGAAGTAATTTGAACATGAAATTAGTCTTCTTTTTAGAAGACCATGTCTCCTTCCAGTTATTATGACTGAAATAGATCTAAAATGAAACAGTTGTGAGAAGCAGTTACTGCTGTAGCAAAAAAGAAACTGGAATCCTGAAGATTCCATCTCCAGATGGGAGATGGAACTGTCCCTATCCCTCCCTACAATTACAACTTGGGGCACCCTCAGATTTTCCTGTGTCCACAATGTCAGAGGGGCTTCAGAAGAGATCTGGAAAGAAGAATTTTCACTAGCATTCCCAGGAGAGTTCAGATAAGTTATGTACAAAATACCTCAGTTGATATTAGATCTGGGTCTCTGCTTTCCACAGAGCCTTTAGAAGCACAGAGCCCTAGTCTAATGAGAGCAAGATTAACAGCAGGTTCTTTATGATAGTATCAGCTTGGGACAACTGACACAGGGCACTCATAGCTAAAGCATTATTCGGGTCAGTGTGCAGATGTCAGTGGTACCTTGTGCTATCCCTTGTTAAACTACACACAGATGTAAGCTGCATGCTGTTGTTTTGGAAAAACATCGCAGAGGAATCCCCTGCTCTTCATGTCACTTACTGCATCATGGTTCCTGCGGAATCGGATGACTTCTCGGTCATCTTCAAAGCTGCTGCCCAGAGCTGTCTGTGTGACAGACTTCATGGCAAAGCCCAGCATGTGCTGGCAGAGTGGCACATGTTGAGCCTCAGGAAGAGAGAGCCATTTGGCTAGCAACTCTTCTGATAGCTTAAAAGGGAAGAAATCGTTAGTGCTGATCTTGGCAAGCTACTTACAAAACATACCCCAAACTGGAGGCATTCCTACCCTAACAGTGTTTGGTTTCCATTAGCTCCAGTGGATTAAGGGTGACAGGCTCTGGTTGTCAACATAAAATGTCACAAAGCAGAGCCCGTCACCCTTAACTCACTGGAGCCAACGGAAACCAAACACTGACATTGTGTTTGCACAGACAGACAGACACCAACGCAACTTGCTTTCTCAGATGCTTACTATTTCAGGGTGAATTTGAATGCAGCCCTGCATGTCCTCCCACCAAGCTTCCCCCTGTGAGCCACAGAGCGCTTCTATGCTATAAAAAGGAAAAGTTATTCACCTTCTGGATAAGAGCTAAGTTACTCTGTAAAGTCTTAGTCACACCATTTTCATACAGCTTTCTCTTCAGATGGCTCTCTCCTGTATCCCCATTCAGGCTGGATTGGTACCTCAGGAAGGACTTCAGCATTGTCTCAAATGGATCAACTGAAAGCAAATAATGGAAAAAAAAAAAAAAAAAAAAAAGTCAGGCAGTCCTGCTGCACAGGGATGATGGAAACATCAACCTCATTACTTGAGTACTATTTCTGGTTATTCCGGGGCCAGGAGCAAGGCACGGCCTTTTTCCCCAGGAACAGTCTCTTTGAGGAGTCAGCCTTCTCGTGCTCCATGTGGTCTGGGAGCTCATACAAACTCCTTGCTAAGCCAGGATATCATCAGATCCCTCTGCAAAGTTTGCCTCCTAGATGCACAACATAACTCTAGCAAGGAGCTCATCTCAGTGCTTTTAACAGTAGCCCCTTGGAAGCTTGGCCTCAAGCTGGCTGGGCCAATGTGGTGACAGTGGCTGTGGTGACAGTGGCTGCATGTGTCCTATAGAAAGCAGCGCCCCATTAAGCTACAGAAGCTTTTCTATTTCTCATCATTTAACTTTCCATCTTTCTTGCACCCAGATGAGTACAACAGCTTACAAATTAGGCAGAAACACATTACCTTCATCTTTCATATGCGTGGCTTCTGTTAGATCTTTAACTTTGAAATCTGTCAGAGCACACTAGCCATCAATGCAAATGCAAACCCATGCAATAAAGCATGAGCTATTGTATGTTTTTCCCTTCCCGAAAATATTTCCATGGATCTATCAAAACTGGCAGAATTATTAAGGAACTATATGGAAGCAATGATCAGCAAGTCTCCAAGAGGGATATTTTCACGGCCTGTTACTTCTCCTAGATGAAGCATAAAATCTGAAGCATTAGAAGACACTGAGGCTGGACCAGATACAGGTCTCTCCTTATTACGGATGTGTCCAGGACTCCCTGCAGAGATCAAGGTCTCATTATGTGACTGGACAAGCATCCAACAAGAGATGATTCCTGCCTTCAGGGGACTTGCCAGCTAATGAAACAAAGGCAGCTAACGAGGGCAGAGGCAGGAATACAGTCAATCCTCCTAAACACTCCTAAACACTTCCAACACTCTAAAGCTCTGCATCTCAGACTCTTTCCCACTTTGAATGACAAGGAATATGTGCATGTGCCGTGTGGCCTGGCAGATGGTACCTGTGGCTCTGCATGTGGAGCAGCCTGTTACATGATTCTGGCTGTTGCTGACGAGTCCTGCCCCAAGGTACTTTGCCTTGGGGGGCTGCTGCTTGTCAGGCCACAGCCACATGCGCACTGGCCCTGGCAGAGCTGGACAGCACTGAGAGAGCCAGAAAGGCTTCATGAACTCAGGACCACTGAGAACTAAAATACATAAGCATTAAGCTTATATATTTCTGCAGGAAATACATTACTTGATGCATCTTTTTTTTTCTCCATGGCCACATGATCCTGCATACCACACACACAGCCCGCTCTGCTCCCATTTCTGCTGCCCCAGGCCTCCAGGATAGCCAGCTCCTCGCTCTGACACTGCTTCCCTGCCCTGACAAGGGTCCCAGCACCATGTCATTGGCACAGGCTGCTAACATAGGTGCTGGACCCAACCATTTCCTTTCCTTCCCCAGCACAGCATTCCTCTTCCCAACATAACCCAGTCTCACTCCCCTTTATGTTCTTCCTGCCCCATTATTACTTTCAGCTTCAGTAATGACTCAAGGGGTATCCAAGGAACTGCTGAACTGAAAACCAGAAACAAACCCATCTCTACTGCTTTTCCTTGTCTAAGATTATCAAAAAATTATAGTATGACTGCACTTTATGGCCTTTCCTATGTACCTCCCTCCTTATAAAATGTCTTTAACCCCTGGCACATGGTAGTTCAGACTAATCTATAGGCACCTTGGTCTCTCCATTTCTTAGATTTAACTCCAGGCACTGTGTTTCTCTCTAGCACGTGGATGCCCTCTGAAATTCAGTACATTTCAGAGAACTTGTCTGCTTAGGTACTTGTTACCACTTCTCCAAGCTCTGTTTAGGGACCGCTCACTCTCCTCCTCACTTTCAGATCTTTTGGGGTTGGTGTCCACCCTCTGGAGTGATCGCTGTACCTCACTGATCTTCATTTACATTTATAATGGCCACTAATTTTTTGAGTCTTCTATGCCACCATACAGGAAACTTCCCTATCATGATCCCAACATGAAACAATGCTGAGGTATCAGCCAGCGCTTCAAGACAGCCTATAATACCAATATGAGGGTATGCAATCTATACCTTGCTCAATCACAGAATGCAAACTACAAAACAGCAGGATAAATCCAAATAGCTAACTGCTTGTTGTCCCTTTATGAAGCAAAATGCTCATCCCAAGAGACTTGCAACTAAACTAAAATACCCCTAGTACCTTCTGTAGGCCTAAAAGCCGTAACTCAGTTACCAGCACTGCTGACCATCTCCCAGTCTGGAAGATCACCAGATGCTTCCAGCACAAAATTCTATCATCTAAATAAAAACGAAAGTTAAGGGACTAAAATCCCCACACTGAAGCTCACAAGGGAGGTATCACAGACCACACCAGCTGTTCTCAGACTTAATTTAATAAAGTTCTTTGTCTTAAACTGTATTTCAAGCTGCTTTTAAAGGGTTTCAAGCTGTTACAGGGTCTTTGGCTCCCTACTTTAAATGACTATTGAGGGCGATGTTCTTCGTGAACATGTGGCCTGCAGGAAGAAGGTAAAAGACACAAACTCACTTCCTGATGGCCACTAGGCAATGGCCTCTCCTGGTTGCTGATACTGAAGGGCAATAAGTAGGGCCAAAGAAACATCTCAACCACGTCAACCACAAGCCGGGTCTCCTTCTCCTTTGGTGCAGCTGCCTTGGACACCTGAGGCCAGCAAGCCCAAAAAAGGAGCCCAAGAGCAGGCAAAGGGCAACTCACGTAGCCTGTTGGGGTTCACGTGCTGCTTGAGGAGCTCGATGGCGCCCAGGCTGACCACGAGGCGCCTCCCGAACCAGAAGGAGACGAGCGGGCCGTGCTTCTCGTGCAGGTTGCGCAGGAACTCGTGCAGGCTGCCGCTGGCGGTGATGTCCGGCAGGTTGCCATCCCTGTGCGGAGGGCAAGGAGCGTGGCCGGTCGCGAGCAGCTCCGCTCGCGGCGGCTGCGCGCGGGCACAGCGCGGCACTTACTTCTCGTCAGTGGGAGCCAAGCCCGGGATCCCCGACGCCTGCCTGGATGCCTGGAGAGCAAAGGGGAACGCGCGTGGGCCTCCCTGCAGGGCGAGGTGCCGCCCGCGGGCCCCAGCGCGCGGCCCGCCTCAGCCCGGCGCCCTCGCCGCCACGTTACCGGGTACAGGTAGAGCACGGCGCCCACCAGGATGAGCAGGAAGGTGACGGCGAAGATGGCGAAGTCCAGCATGGCCGTGCCGGGGCCGGGGCCAGGGCCGGGGCCGGGGCCAGGGCGGGCGGCAGCGGCTCCGCCCCGCGGCGGGAGCAGGAAGGGGCGGAGCGGGCCCGGCCATGGGGAGCCCGCGGCGGCTGCTGCTCGTTTCCAACTCCACGCTGCGCGGCGGCGGCTACCTGGGCCACTGCCAGCAGCACATCCAGGCCTTCCTGGGCGAGTAAGCGCGGGGCGGGAGGGCGCCGCGCGCCGCGGGGCCCCGCTCAGCCGCCCGCCGCTCTCCCCGCAGGCGGGTCCGCCGGGTGCTCTTCGTGCCCTACGCCCTGCACGACCGCGACGCGTACGCCCGGCGGGCGAGGGAGAGGTTCAAGAGCCTCGGTAAGGCCCGGGGCGGCTGCCGCAGCGCGGGCCGGCCCTGCAGCTTCGGGCCTCCCGGAGCGCCCTTTGCTCCGGCCCGGAGGAGATGGCGGCTGCCGTGCACACCGCCTCCTTCGGGCCTCGCTGCAAGGCAGCGCTGTCACCGCCCTCCTTTCCTGGCGGCAGCTTCCCCTTTCCTGGTATCTGGCGTGGGGGGAATGCTCGGCTGCCCCGCACCGAGTGCAAGGTGCGGCTACTCGAGACCTTGCCCAAGTGTATCCAGAAACAACTGCGTGTTTTGGTGCAGCTGGATACGGGCCCCTGCACGAGCACGGGACTGCCCCTGCTGCAGTGTTAGGGGCTGCAGCGTTTCCCTGGGGCCTGGGGAGAGGTGGAGGGGTAGGGGAAGGGGCCCTGTCCTTCCTCTAAACAAAACTGCCACAGGTAAATATTTTGTTTTTAAGGTTATGGGCTGGACAGCATTCATGAATCTTGTGATCCAGTGGAAGCTGTAAGGAAATCTGAAGCAATATTTGTAGGTAAGTTTTACTTACTAGGTGTGCTCTGGATTAGTCCTGCTCACAGCTTGCACTGCAGAGACAAGGAGGGAGGAGTCAGGCTGGCAATTATTAGAAGCTACAGGAAACAATACCACTAGGAATAGCAAGTTGAGAAGGAAGGAGGTGAGATTTCTTAGTGGAACTACTTCTCCAGCCACTTTCAAATGGTTTTTGAATCTGTATCATCACTTTATCTGCTTTAAGGGAGTCAGGTTTACTGTGCTCAACCGGAGTTTAATCCTAGCATCACCTGTCAGGGTATTAGAGCAGTATCTCCCATCAAACAGCCAGGGTCAGTGTTAAAAGCGTGACTTGGGAGATGAGCCAGCGGCATTGCTCTGAACCTTTTGGCTTTATTTGTAGCTCAAAGCAGGATAAAACCCTGCACAGAACTGGGAGATACTGAATCTGCCAAGTTTGTAATGACTTCGTGAAAAGCAGGTGGTAAGAGCATTTTAAATAAACTGGACCTTCTGTCTGTAGGAGGTGGCAACACATTTCGTCTCCTGAAAGCTCTTTATGACAACAGTTTGATAGAGGAGATCAGGAAGAGAGTCCTTGAGGTAAGAACTGCACTACTTAGGCCAAAGTGGAATGGCAGGAGCTCATCCAGAAGCTTTCCTCGAGACAAACCCAAGCTGATCCTACATCATGGTCTCCAATATACCTGAAACATTGAGACCTCCCTTGCAAGGTGGTTAACAAAAATCTGTGGCCCAACTAGGCTGTCATTAGTCTTTGAAGCCTGGTAAAACAAGAGTACTGAACTACTCTCTTTAGGAGAGAAGCAAGTTAATAGGCCTAAACCTGAGCTGACTGCTGGACTTCTGAGACTGATATAAGATACTGTAAAACACAGTCTTTAGTTGTGATACTGCCTGCTACATCACTACTTTTGCCTTTCAGGATGGAATTCCCTACGTGGGATCCAGTGCAGGAACAAACATTGCTACCATCAGCATCAATACAACCAACGACATGCCAATTGTTTACCCACCTTCCCTCCAGGCCCTGGGTTTAGTTCCTTTTAACATCAACCCTCACTACCTAGATCCAGATCCTAAAAGCACTCACATGGGTGTAAGTAAAGCATCTCAGTTAACACAGTAACCAGGATGCAGAGTTGTAAGGATAGTGCACATTTCCCAAGCTTTATAAAGCTGTGTGTGTTTAACTGCTGTTTCCTTATGCAGTTGGAAATGCCAATGAGGCAATAATATTTTACTGCCTTCCAATGTTTTACTGCTCTTGGGAGTGAAAAGTTGTCAATGGTGTTACTCAGAACAAGCTGTTTTTCACAAACTGCAATATTGTAGTCAAAAATACTGTTGCTTCATACCTGGTGTGGCATTAGAGAAAAATTAAACAGGTAACATGCAGTGCATTTCTGGGGAGTTCTGTCATAGGAGGTCTTGCTTGTAGGTCTGCTGCTCTGTCTAGAAGACCAGATTTAAGTATACCTTAAGAAGTGTAAATATCTGAAGGAACCATCAGAGCAGCCCCTTGGACAGCATGCCTGCAGCATTGTCCAATCACTGATCCAGCAAGTATATGAGCAGAGCTGAAAGTAAACTACTATTAAGCATAAAGGTAGACATCTTAACTGCAGTCCCAGTCTGGAGCCAGTTCCTCGGAACGCAAATTCTGGGCCACAGGCCTTGTTACAGCCAAATACTTCTTTATAATAAAAGCTTTCTTATTTCTAGGACTAGCAAAAGTATTTAGAATAAGAGGACAAAGGAGGGATAGAGGATCAGAATGTGCTTCTAGACTTTGGATTACCTAGGAAGTGCTCGCTTCGCTTGCTTGTCTCTAGATAAGCAAGCAGTCTTTCTCTGAATAATTCTTGCCATTTCCCCAAAAGAAGGGGGTAAGCTCTGTGCTGTACCAAGCGCCCGCTGTGTTCCTGTCTTTCCTTACCAACAAATCCTTCTGGTTTGATTTCTTTAACTTCTGTTGCTCAGTTCAGCAGCAGCAACCCTCAAGAAACATGGCAAAGCCAGTAGCAGAAGGAAATTCTTCACTGTAGTTTTTACTTGAGGACAAACAAAGAGCTATTTAGTCAATGGAAATCCATTGATCCAGATTCAGTCCCCTCAAATCCATTGATCCAGACTCAATCCAGACTCAACACCTTAGCTTAGCTGAAGAGGGCATCTTAGACATCTGCTTGCACCAGCACCCTCAGTGCTCGTGTTCTGAGGGTAAGTGCATAGAGATAAGGTCTTTTTTTTAAATGCTACCAAAAAAAAGTCAGTGGATGCAGTGAATGGAAGCGAGTTTTCAGGGCACTTCAGTATTGGGCTTGCAGAGGTTTTGTTTGATACCTTGCAGCTGTTGTTGCTACTGACAGAGGCTAAAATCCATAGCCCTTAGGGTCAGTGCAGTTGCTTCCTTCAATACATTAATCTCAAACCAAACCCTCTGCTTGAGGAACAAGTGCCTGCTTTGTTAATGTTATGAAGCTGCTCAGTGTCAGGAACTTGGGCAGCTCTAGGTCCTAACTTACTACCTGGGCAGCTAAATTCATACTCAGTAAATGCTCCTGTTGCAGGAGACAAGAGAAGAAAGAATTCTCCAATATCACGAAGAACCAAACACGCCTCCAGTTTTGGTGAGTATTACTGACAGTTGCAGCACTCTAAATATTTTAAAAGTAACCCTGCTGGCTTTCAGTGTGAGCTCCCCTACCTGACAAGCCTGACAAAACTGTGATGGGCAACAGTGATGGTATTCTTGCTAACAGTTTCAGGATTATCACCTGTAGAAGATTATAAGAAATTAAATGTGTACTGCATGCTAAATGCCCAGAGCCCTGTTGCTGAAGTATTAAATTGGTAGCCCTGCTTTGTCCAGCCATTGGCCATCAGGCACATGCAAACTGAGGGTGGCATACATGTGGATGCTAGGATACATCCCCTTCCTAGATACTCATAATTCCATTTTAATCACTGTGGGCAGCCAAATGATGCATTTGCCTGTTCAGTAGTGTGCTCATAATTGCAGTATGACTGAAGAAGGAGGAAGTTAGGGTGTCCTGTCCCAGCACGCACTCTGAGCTTGGAATATAAAGTTTGTCCACTGGTTGGTTGACAGATTACACTAAACCTAAACGAGGGGAAATAATTTGGGGGACGTTTTCCTTTTATTCCTCAAGGGGTTGTATAGCTGTCTCTAAAATAGAAAAAAAACAAGTAATTTGTTTTAGAAGCTAGTTAACTCACCTGTTTTGTCCTAACATCTTCATTAGAAAAACTTGAGGACCGAGAAAATCTTGTAATTGGTTGTAGTCTTGGAAAGCTATACTTTAAACATTGGTCTGCTCAAGACAAGCACTCTAGCTCTCCAGATAGCTTGCAAACTAATCTTAAAACATTTCCACCTACCTAAGGGGTTGCGGGAAGGTGCAATGCTGCTAGTGGAAGGAGACAAAGCCACCTTGCAAGGAGTGACAGGAGCACGGCTGTTTATGAGGTAAATGCTTCCTTTGAATTTGATGGAATAAAAATCTCTTCCTTCAGCTAGAAAGGAAAACAGACTGCTACTAGACTAGGCAATTAGCTAGTGCCACCCATGTCAGAGGTTACTTAATTCTGTTCTGCATTTCTCTTGAGGGAAAACAGGAATTCTGCTTTATGCTCCAACGGAGGGGGGAAAGAACAGTACTGCAAGGGAAGACTGATTTATGCACTACATCATTAGTGTTATTTCCTGAGCTGTATTTCCATTCACAGAAAAGCTCTAGTTATCAGGCTGTGCAGTGCTACTGAAGACCAGCAGAATGCCACTTGGACCCCGATTTATCGGATTCTAGGATCAGGAAAATCCTTCTTTTAGTCATATGACCATTACTGTGAAGTCTGTGTATATAAATCTATGCCGATGATGCCAGGTAGGAAAGGAGTCAAGACTCTGCTAGGCATGGAGTGAAGATGCCTTATTCTGTTGCTGCCAGGAACAGATGGAAGCCCAGTAGGCCTAGTTCCTGTTTAAGCTTACAACACTGCCTTGGTTGCAGGGGTAAGAAACCAACTGAACACGAACCTGGAACAGATTTCAGCTTCCTCCTGACTGAGGCTCTGTAGCCTTGCCTGCACTGTGGCAAAAGGCAGCACCTGGGAAGACAAGGGGAAACAAGGGAAGAGGTGGGCCTAGTCCCAGGGCAGGTGGAGGCTTCCCTTTATAAATAAAGATTTTAAACGTGCTTTAGTGGGCTCTTTTCTTCGCCACCCTCTCAGATATGCCCCTCCCCACCCCACAAATGGGTATAACTTTTATTACCGTCCTGCAGTAATCACAGCTATTCTTAAGTTTGAAAGGATCTCCGCCTTCATGTCTCCACTTTAACTCCTTTCCCACCAAAAATGTTTCCTTAACACAATTAAGTCAGGCCATTGAGTCTGTTGTTCCTCGTATTTACCTTTACCTGCATAATGAAAGAATTGTTCATTTAGTTTCACTTTTGTACTATTGAAGTGAGAACTTATGCATTCAATTATTTTTATTTGCTTCAGACCCATGTTAAGTATATACAAAGCTAGTTATATACAAAAGTGTGCATCTTAAAAATTGTTAGGTTACAAACTTGCAAATCCTAGAAAAGTGCAAAATTTTAAAACATCTTCCATCATGCTGTACAGAAAAAAATCCATCATTAGCCAATATACACACTCTTAAAACATACTGATCATAACAATAAGACATACAATATACACTTAAAGCACCCAGAAGGGAAAAAGATATTGCACAGAAGACTAACAGGTTCATTACAGTGCCTGAAGGCTTATCTTTGAAATTAGATATACTCACCACTCCTCAGACCTAACATTTAACTCTCTTTAAAGAAAGGCATTTTTGGCATTTAGAAATCCATTTGTAATCACAACTGCACAATTTGTAAAAGTTACCAGAGGATATGATTAAATGTTGCTATAAGTAAGGCCTTCATTTCCCTCACCCCCATTAAGCTTGAGTAATTTAAACAAATGCTGAAGCAAGTTCAAGTGTCTCACCCAACTTCACCAAGAACACCAAGTAGCAGCAGTTTCCAACAAAAGCCTGACCAAAGGGAGATAATTCTTTAAAGCAGCATTTTCTCCATTCTTAGTTGAGGCTGCTTCTATATAGCTAAGAGCTGAATTGGAACACACATAGCAAGTTGTCCTTGAAATATTTTTCTCATGGCTTTCTTTAAGTAACAGCTCCCAGCTACTTAGGACTAAAGCAGTATGGTTGGGTACATGAGTAAATGTATTTTAAATAGCTGTTCTGAGGCAAAAAAATATGGCTCCCTCAAGAGTAAATACTGAATAGATAAGTTAAATGAGTGCCCTCTAAGTTAGACCTATTATAAATATGGCTGGATGTTTTGTGTACATCAAGACACCTTAGCAGCTTTAAACCATAATCTAGGTGCTTCTAGGAGAGAAGGTGTGTTAGGAAATTGTTTGCGTTGAGTCTAATCACAGATCTAAACTCAGGAAACACTTGCCAAGTTTTCCCCGCAAAGAACACACACAGCTTGAAGAACTCTCTTCTGCAAAACCCAATGAAACAGCTATTCTACTTGGGCCATTTGGGTAAATAGTAATTAAAAGACAAAAAATACAATTTTTCTTCCAGACATGCAGAGCAAAAGGAGAGGAACTAAAATTGCACAAATGATATTTCTAATTAAACACTAGAAATGGTTCCCTACAGACACACTGTTTAAGATGGTAGGCCTGGCTTCTGGCAGCAGTAAAAATAGCACTCGACTCAAAAGTAACCTGTGCAGAGCAGGCTATGCTGCCATGTGAGGCATTTCTGCACTCAGGTATCTGTTAACTATGAAGTAGGGGATGAGCTATCAACTGCAGTAGCTTTTTAAAAAGATCTCGTTTAGTATGTGCTAACAACGGTATTAGAGATAGATGAATTTAGCTTCTCAAGATGGAAGGGGATACATCTTCTTAACACTTCAGTCAAGTCTGACATTGGCACAAAGAAACACACGTATACGACTACAAAAACACTATTACTTCCCCCAAAAGAGGCAATGTATCTTGCACCACTGCCCGATTCTCTGCAATCCCAAACAAATAAATGTACACAATTTTAAAGCAATGTAAATGAATACAATCCATTACTGGTCACCCTTTTCACTAACACCCTTGTACTTGCAGGCTGTCACTGTCTGGCTACAGCACCACTATGACTTTGCGCTCCCCAAATTCAACCTTCACACTCAACAAAATCAATTAAAAATAGTCTGCAAAAGAGTAGCACTTTGTGGCATATGCCATCTGAGAAGCCTTTCTTTATTCATCTATAATATTTGCTCTGTGGAGGCTTTGCTAACACATGCCGATAGCTAGCCCAGAGATAGTGTGCGTCTGTACTGAAGTTCTTGGCATAACTTCCACAAGCACCTGGCCACTACTAACACATATCACACATTTACCCCAAAAGCTACAGGGCTTTTCAACCAAAAAGCATGAGCCGTTCTAGAAAGAACTCAGCCACATGCTTGAATTCTCAAAGTTAAATATCTCCTTAGTGCTTTCATCTAAGAGGATTTATTAGGTCAGACCTTAGGTTCACATAAGAATATATATCTGAGATTTTAATTATTTGAAAGAAAACAATATATATTCACATTCTCCAGCCTTTGTCCCTCACCCAGCCAGCAAGGTGCCCTTACCCATGGAAGAGGTGCCATCAGGGGACCATACAGCGAGCAGCCTCCAGCAAGACTCAGTTCAGGCATTCAGGGAAGCTGGTGGGAACAGGCACCTTCTCTCCCCAACTTTAGAGCTCCCACCATACTGTAATCTATAGTTACACACTTTCAATTAAATACAAGGAATAAACAGTACAGATGTTCAGTGACTGGTTGCCTTATCTTCTTTATCCAATATGACATAACAAAAATGACCAGAAAGGACTTGGAAGGGAAGTGAGGAAGGAGGTCTAGGACCATCGGCTACAGAGCTCCCACCAAGCCAGGTGGGAGTGAGCAGCTGCTGTGTATTAAAAAAATAAATTCATTTCTGCAGGCATCTTAAAACAAACTGATGTAGGACCACTACCAGTACCATAAAGGACTTGTACAATGACACAATGCAGGAGCATAGCTCTTTTCACTTCATTTTAAGGACAAAAAAAACATTTTTAAAGATAATCTTTATAAAATGGTCTATTCTATAGACTAAAGCCTGTAGAGACAATGATACATCAGTTTTGCAGTAGCACATACAATCTAAGGTAAGTTGGGGGTGGAGAGGGAACTTGCTTGTATGAAGGTTGCCAAATTCAAAACAATCTGTAGTGTATTTAAAACAAACAAGCTTCCTAAAATGCAATTCCCAGAATATGCAGTAACCAATGAGAGAAATACTGTTTGTCTTTATGATTTGGATTATTACTATTTTGTGCTGGTGTTAATAAGGTATGTAGATGATGGAAGACAATTTCTAGATACCCTATTAGATAACAGATTGATACAGTATAAGTCATGTAATTCAGATGCCAACTTGAAGAGCAAACATTTAACTTTCTGAATGCTGCTCCCCTACACAAACCATACAGACTAGGTGAGATTGATTATCAGTAAACAACCACTAAAAAATACCACCAAGCATAACTAAAGATGAAGAGAAGTTTGACATACATTATATTTGAATTAAAGGAATGACGACTTCTAAGCATCATCCTTTGGTATGCAAGTTCTAACTGTGCCAGTCAATATACCTAACTGCTTCATCTAGTTTATATACAGATATGTAAAGAAATTCAATTTTCAGTTTCTTTCAGATATATATTTACACTGTTACTTAGTGTCAAAGAAGGCATATTTTCAGCTTTAATAAATATTATAGGTGTTCATAAGATTAAATGCAAGATAATCCAGCATGGTGGTCTTGACTAATGCAGCATTATGAACCAGCTTTGCACTTAAGACTTGTTTATTCTGACTTGATCAGAATCATTTAATCTCACAGCTTTACTCACACTTAAATAAATCTTAGCTCAAAGGCAAACATGAATTACTTTACTAATATGTGTTGTTCTCTATGAAGAACAGAATGTGGTGGGATCTTCAGCTTTATTACATTGAGTAGAAGGAAGAAGTCTCTTCACCAATTCTTAGTGCACTGCATAACAAACTAGAACTCAATCAACCTAAACTCTAAAAGAAGAAGTTTCTTCATTCAGGGGGGAAAAAAAGGCAAAACCTCAAGATGACGTGCAAAAAAATAAGTTAAAATAGAATTAAGCAAAATAACAATGAACACTTGCACTTAACTGCCTATATCTTACTGAAAGCAGGTTTTATAAAGGCAAAGTGCACACCTTCAAACCCACAGGGGTCTTGCTAGAGGCACTCTGGAAGGTGCTCGAGTGTGTGCCAGCACCTACTCTTCATCCTCAATTGCAAGAGATAAACGTCACCAGATGCTGCCATCCTGCACAGACCACGAAGCAGCTCTGAGCTCAGCTGTCCCTCCCTCCTGCAGCTGCTGCTGGGCACAAACCAGTCTCAAGCCCAAGAGCTCAAGAACTGCTCCCATTTAAACCATTCCCAGATACCTGCACATATCACCTAACACCTGTGAAGCACCAAAACGATGACATTCAAACATCAAAGCACTTCATAAACACTGGCATCCTGATTATTGCAACTATACTATATTTTAAGCTGACACAGTGTATTCAGTATTCTTGAATATTAAACACATTCATTATTTCCATCTTTGTATAAGCATACCTAAAACACAACAGGTTCTTGAACTCATATGAGAACCTCTCTATGTTCCTGACATCACAAAACCCACGTTTTGGCCAAACACAACTAAATACTTATCTCCTCCTTTTTTTACACTTGATTCTCCTGGCCTGAAACATCCTAATTTCCCCTGCCAATATACACACTTAACCTCATGTATGCACTGAAAATGGTACATATATACGCACACTTAAAAAGTCATAGCTCAATGTCCCAACAAGTTCATTTTTTGACTTCCCATTTCACAACAATCAGCCAGTCAGATCTGGAACCTTTCTGTAGTGCTCTCCAAAAAGCTTCTTAGAAACCCCTTTGAACATAAAGCTCAAACCTACTGCACATTTACACACACACTTAACACATCAGCATATCCTTAGTACCGGCATTGGATAAATAATCAATTATAAGTAGTTGGTATTTTTCATTTAGGCCCTTAATTTTTTACAGTTTATTTGAAAGCACAGAATACATGTGTATGTGTGTGCAGAGTCTGAAAAACACACCACTAAATTTTTTGGAAATTACAAGTTGTCTTGACACATGCCTCCAGGAAATGCTCCTAATGTTCTCCTAACTTTCCAGATGATCCAGTCAGTGAAAGGGACTAGTTAAAAATATTGCAACCAGGAACAGACTCACTTGCTCACTGATCTAGTTCATTTCATTTCCAAAAGTTCGGAAAGAACTTTTTTTCCCTAAACAGAATACACCATCGTTAAGAAGAACTTTTTTGTAATTAAAGAAACTGTGGAGAAGGGTGTAATGGTCTAACAGTTCTCAGATTACCCTGAAGGGGCTGAGGGGCAGAGGTATTACTTTTCCTGCAGACTTCATAAATATTGTGTTAAAAGTCAACGAAACGAGATTATGCACAATGGAATTCTTCAGGTAGTTCAACAGCTCCCCAGCCACTGGAAATATCTGATAACATTTACAGAAAATACAATGCACAGTCATTTCCATAAATAAATAAAACTCAAAAAAGCAATGGCAGAAGGGAGAAATGGGTAGTCCAAAGGAAACATCACTTATAGCTCTGCCTTATACTCCCCTTATCCCAGAAGATGCAAGGGGAATAGTATCCTCTTTCAGTACACATACATACATATAAATACATATACACACACACACAAAACCTCACACTTTGATACAAAATATTCCCTTTAGCACCAGACCTTCCCAACAATAGAGGACTTAGTTCAAACATTAACATTTACTTCACAAGAATGCCAGAACAGGAAAACATGCACTCTCCTAGCATCACATATCTCTAAAACAAAACCACTCATCGTCTTCTCCAAGCACAGCATCCAGTCCCTACTCCAACCACTCTGCTGTGTAGAGTACATGCAAGGATCCGGTATTTTCTTCTTTCAGGCATTTAACATACATTGCTGGTGGATCTGTTTTCCTGCTTGCTTTCCAGAGACAGAAATATAGCTAACTACTAGTTTGGTGAATTCCAACCAAAGAAATAACCAGGTGCTCTTTGAAGTGGCTGCAATGTTGTTCAAGTGGAAATGTTAGCTTTTTTTTGCAAAAGTTGCCTTACTAATAAAACAGAATCTTTAACCAACATGGATACTCGATTATTTCCTTTGTATTTCTTATTTCTACAGTATCCTAAAATACATTAAAGGGTTTCTTAGTGTCTTAGTCTACTTAATATAAATAATTTTCAGCAGCAAGTATTTCCCACCTCCTTCAACTCCTCTGAAGTTTTTCATTTTCTGATCAAGTAGTGCAACACAGATGCTCCTTGCAGAACAGCCTAAATCTAGAACTAGACAAAAAAAGACAGCAGTAGCCATTTACAGGAATAAAGGAATAAGTCACAAGTGGATTGGTCTTAAAAAAAAGAAAAAAGAAAAGAAAAAACATATATATATATTAAAAAGGTCATGTCAGCTGTCCCCATTTCAAATCAGCACAACTGATCAAATCTTAGTTTACTGTTGGGGAAATGCAATGTTGTCAAAGCAAAGCCAAATTTCTTCCTTGTGATTAAGGAGCATCAGGTCTTAAGCAGTTTTAAATCAAATGCTACTCATCTTAAATCAGATTAGCAAGTTTAAGTTTGGAGGTTTGGGGTATTTGGTTTGTTTCCCTGAAACACTGTTTTAGCAGCTATTTAGAGAGGATTCTGCTGTGCCCAACTCAACAAGACTAAACATGCAAGCAAGTTAACTTGCACGGGTATGCATGACAATTACTATACCTCTACCATAGCTTCATCTTCAACAGATTGTTAAGAATCAAACCCCCTGAAAGTTGGAGATATGCTCAAAGTGACAGCAAGATTAAACATTTTTCTGGAATCCATGAGGTGGAAGCAGCAGTCACTTGGGATCTTGAGTGTTATATTCAGTCTCTCCTGATGAGATCTGGCTGAGCCGCTTGCTTGATCCCCACAGCTTTCGGGAAAGCTGACCTGAGCGCATCTGTTTAAAGTAATCCAGAGAAACAAAAGGAGGGGAAGGGATAAGGCGGATAAATTAAAAAGGAACTTCAGACATGGATTCTGGTGAAGTGCAGACACTAAAAGGTACTGCATAAACAAAATTATACCAACAAAAAATATTTAAAAACAAATAAAAAAGTTACTTTGGGATGACTCTTGGGACTGACACACAACAACAGACAAAACACTAATCTCTGTCTTTTCAGGTTTTGAACAGTTACATGCATACTGTCAAGTAACACAGACTTAATGCATTATTGGCTAAATGGCTTCAAAATGGACTCTAGTTCAGATTGCTGTTTTGTTAGGAAAATAGAAGAGCAGAATATCAAAAAAATGAACTAAATTAGCAGAAATAGTATTTCAAATAATAATTGTTAGAACTGAAAAGGAGATAATTGAAATGAATCCTTGATAATCTCCTTTAAGTGATGGAATATTGCAGAGCAGCAAGGGCAGGAACAGGGAATGACAGAAAGGAGAGCTCCGAGTATATAGTCCTCCAAAGATCCCACATGGAGTGTTCTATGCAAAATTTAAACCAGAAATAATTCATACCAAATACTCCGTAAGTAAAGACAGATTACAAACCACCAGAGGCTATATTAAATCTAGCATCTGGTGAACCTGCAAACTGACCTCAATTTGTAAAAACTCATTTTAAATTAACTCCTTAAACACACAGATTAAGATTGGCCAGTAGTGATCACAGTCTGGCAGCTGCTTAGGATATAAAGCCTCTTATAGGTTATCAAACAATATTCATGTCTTAACAGCACACCTTTTGGGGAAAAAACACCTTTCCAACAGTTAAATACTACAAATGAGTCTAAACTAGATCATCAGAGCAGCAGTGTCATAGGAAAGGCACGGTGCTGAAAGGGTCTATCACTACCACATGATAATCCCACAGCCTTCTGTAACATCCCAAACAGCCAGGTAGTTTTTAAAATAGTAAAACATTTGTTATACTTCATTTCTGACTATCCTGTCAATGCAGAAAGACTAGAGGCCAATCTTAATACCAAGCAGCATTTCACGTCTTTAGAAGGTATCTCCCTTTAAGGATTAGTACTAAAAGCTGGAAATACAATGGTGTATACTTTTGCATGAAGAATTTAAAAGTTCCAGTAATTCATATATTCTTTCCAAAATAACTACATAAATAGTTCCCCCACTTTACAAATATAATGATTCATGTCATAATAGAAAACTGGAAAATACAGGATTTTTTCTCCCCTAAGATAGTTGTTTTAAATCTATTTACATGGACAGTGATCTCACAGATCATCTGAATTATAAGCAGAAAATATTGGGAAAAAGTTGTTTGAAAGTCTCTACAACCACAAAAGGAATCCACCTGTTGAAACAACATGTGCTTCAGAATTAGAAAAATAGATGTAATTAGGAACTAAAGAAAACAAAAAAGCCTTCAGTCTAATGAGATGCATAGATTTTGGCCTTTTTTCAGGACTAAAACTTAGATGTGACAGTGACTAAAACTGCCATTACAAAGATGTGTTTAACCACATTTTAAGTAGTTCTTCATCAATTCTACAATAAGAAAAAGCTGTCCAAGCGGACAATTGGTGGAAACTACCCCCCCCACCAGCTGCAAGCAAGATCAGACTATCATGCTCAGAAACACATTTCAAGTATTCAGCTGTGCCTCCTCTCCCTGCAACATTTTTAAATACCAAACACACCATTTTAACAATTAGATTATATAATTAAGTCAACAAAGCCTTTTCTGATATGTGCTGAAGGTCACGTAGAAGTAGTAATCATAATTCCAAGTAAATACTGCAGCACAATGGAAGTTCAGTTATGGAGAGAGGCAGGCTAAAGCTAACTCAAGCACTCTGACAGTCATGACAAGAAGTACTTAAAGCGAGAGCTGTTTTGTGCAAGAAAACACGGGCATAGCTATTTGACAGATGGGTGCTCTGTATGTGATACTGCATCTGCAGTACCAACAAGTTTATATTCACCATATGGAGCATATTGGGAAACTACAAAAATAATTCTTTGTGCATTTACAATTGGAGATTCTTAACAGAAGCTTTTTTTCCCCCCCAAATTTCAGTCAATGTATATTAAGATGCATCTGACGGAAACCATAAAAAGGAAGTTAGGTAGCTTATTCTTTTGTTTCCAATTTTCTTCTGGAAAAATATTTCCTCAAGTAGTGGCTGACAACGCTATCACGTTCAGAAAGTGTTAGCTAGTATGACTTTGCTTATTCAGATGTCAGTGATAGAAGTCTGGAGGTTAGTCCAACTGAGTTTCCCATCTCCATTCCCTATACACCTTTGATTCTTACTAAGAAATCTCAGAGCAGTCTCAAAAGTTATTTCTTCCCCACTGAAAACTGAAACTTGCTCTTAAATTTGCCCTGCCATAGAGGAGACCTCTTGCTCAACTGGAAAGCAGAAATAATCGAATTTCCCACTGTTCGGTAGAGAAAGTTCTTGATGGTGGGTTTTACCTCTGCTGGTTTGCCAACACCAACGATAATCAACTTGCCATCCTCCAAGCCAACAAGGATGTGGCTATACTCTTTGGTGACAGAAATGCAATGAATTGGTAGCCGCATGGCTAAGGGGGAGATGATGAGATTCAGGCTGAAATGAACAAAAAGCACAGAAAAAGTATGTTACATATTCATTTGACCGTACTGCAAATAAACACACTGCATTTGGAATTGCTGTCTATAGAAGGCATTATAAAATATACTTTCCCAAGCATCCAGTTCGCAATTTTCACTACTGGGAACTCCTAGGGAAAGACCAAATCACATCCCAGAACAGAGCTCCAATAACAAGGATGAGTACAGATAGGTAAAACAGTAAATGAAAACATTTTCTCTGAGCAGCACCAACATCACTCCTGCAACTGCTAAGGACAAAGATGGTTCTCATTCTGAAGGGCAGTGAAGCTCTACAGAATAAGCAGAGTTTAAACCCAAAATCAGAACTGCATGAGAAATACATCCCGTAGATGCTGTGCTCCCAGTGACACATGGGGACAATCACAGACACATCTTTCTAAATTCTGTCAGTTCCAGCCCATATTCAGGACAAATGGCTGTAAGGAAAGGGGCTGTTTGACCTCTTATTTTCCATCGCTCTATCAACACTGATGTTAGTACGTTACCTGTAGAGATCACGTATGGAAAGGAATCCCTGCAAGCTGCCCATCACAATATGCTCACCAGTCACACACAGATCAGATACTTCCTCCTTCAGAGTCTCAGAACACAGATACTTCCCATTGACAGAGAACAGATGTAAGGCATTCTTATCCTAAACAGATGAAAAATCAAGGTCATGGAGGATGGATTGGATGAAAAATGTATTATTGTACCTTCAGTTCACTAAGTGGGATGGGAAAGGCAAGAGGAAACATTTATTTCACAGAGGTAGAGGCACTTTCTGGATACAGCAATGAATTCTCGACAGATACAGAACCAGCCAATAGGACCATTTTAATATTTTCCAGCTCAATAACACCAGTTCCAACTTTCCCCAGTCTCCCAAAATAGCTAGGATATCTACATCCAATAAACTTTTCTTTCACAGATTTTTCAACGCTCAAATTTGAGTTTTTGTGATTTCTATATGAACAATTACGCAGCCCCTCTCACAGTAGGCTGAGGAAGTTACACTGCGAACCTTATAGCGTGTAGTTTTTCCAACCGAAGGCCAAGAAATACCAGTGCAGCCCCAGGCATCTTGCACCTGAAATTAGGTACTCTTATTTCTGAGAGTAGTGGAACTATTTTCTCCTAATATTGCATCCCAAAACAGCTCATAAAGATTTATTCAGCTAATAGATTAAGAAGGAAACACAAATGGGCACAATGGACAAATGAGACATGAAGAAAGTGCCAAATCCTTAGGAAACCAGGATAAAATTAAATATGTTTGCAATTAAACTCTCCAACAAAACAAAGCTATTCCATGAACTGAAGTACCTTAAGAGTGGTCTTTCCTTCTATGCTGGTGTGGACAACTATATGACCTTCCCAAGACACAGCCAGGTTGGGAACATTCAGCAGGAGAGAACTCTCACAGGGTGGCCGCAGAGTCCTCACGTACTGACCTTTCCGAACAGTGCGGATAATAACTGTCCCATCCTGCAGAAATTAAGTGTAGGTAGGTGCTGTTATTCAGCCACAACCTATGAAGGAAGTTACAGCAGTATATGGAAAAAATATTTAAAAAGTAACACACAGCGAGTATTGTGAAAGCATTTAAATTCTCATTTGGAGACTGGTTCTTCACAAAGAATCCTTTCCTTCAAGGTCTCATAACAAGTATATAAAAAATAAGCACAAAAAAGTCAAGAGCAGAAGGGCAGGCAGCAAGTAGCCATTTCACACATCACAGGAGCTAAGACCATCAGAATCAGGTGCAGCGGAGTTCAGTATTAGGCTAGCATTGTGCAGCAAAGCAAAGCAGGAGTAAGTTGTGAAGAGCTTTCAAGGATAAGCAATTAGGAAATTTGTCACAGAATTATTTGAGAAGCTTAATAGGCCTCAGATAAGTCTGCACACTTTAAAGCCCATCTGTCCAAAACCAACAGATTGTAGCTGAGACCTAGGTTGTGTAGAGCATAGTTTGAGATAGACTGATTTAAGCATGCAAAGGAGATGGTACTTGTCATTGTCTTGATGTACAAAGCTGAAGAACAAATTGGGAAATGGTCATGTTTTTGGCATCACACAAACAACTCTAAATGTGCTCTAGGGTTTGAGAAGCAGCAAAAGAGGGGAGAGCATGGAGCTGCTTACCTTGGATCCTGACACCGCCATGTCCAGCTCAGTGCTGATGCCAACACTCGAGACTTCATCAGTGTGCCCATAAAGGATCTGTAAGGGCTTGGGTGCCAGGCCCACAGGCACTCCTCCCTGAGAGTAACAAAAAGTGCAATGAGACATTCTCTTGCAGCTGAAGGACAAAAAAAATAATTTCTGGTATCTTCAGTATCACTGGTGTGAGATGTACACTTGACACAGGCCAGAACCAAAGTCACAACTCACCCAGGCCAATTTCAATTTACTTTGAATTAGCCTTTTGTCAGCTATTTCTTGAAATCAGAGGAGCAAATGAACATGCAATTACTATGTGGATGTGGAAGAGGGTTGCTCAGTTGAGGTGCTTCTATCCTTTCACACAAGCAGCCGTGCAAGCATCACAGTGAGCACTCCTAACAGGACTGGTTCATGGACCCGTTTTTCCCTTCCTTGTCTATTTGGACTTGTTCAGTTTCTGCAGTTTACCATGAAATTGAGCATTACCTTCATATTAAAGCTCAAAGAAACTAAAAGGCATTTTAAATTACAGCACTAAAAGGCACTAAAATTACAGTAACTTTGTTCTTTGTTCTAAGAAAGGAAAGAGAAATAATTTCTCTGAACAACTGTCACTCAGCTAAGATACAATGCAAAGTCTGGAATAATTCTCATAGAAAAGTGAGAGGCATTGGCGTACATGACAGCGGGGTATCCAAAAATTCTGAGAGGACTTAGCTTCCAGTGAGGGGACTGCCAGCACATATAACCTCATTCTTCAATGAATTTTGAGGCAAGCCCTGTGCTTAGAGAGAGGGTGTGCTGAATTGTTCTGCTGAGAACACTGGTTTGCGTGACAGGGATTTGAGTGTCAATCAAGTTCTGAAGAGCTGAAGCACACAGGAATGCAGGACGAGTCAGAACACAGCACTGAGGGAAAAGGTGACAATGCAGAACAGATGTAGCAACGTGCAGGACACTGCTGCCACTATGTAATGACCAAGACAAATAAATCTAAAGACTTTACAACACATACAATAAGATTATTATATACTCATGATGTAAATAGAAATCTAGAATAAAAATCCTAACAAAAAGCAACTCCTATCTAAATAGAAATAAATCTCCAGAGAAGGACTCATCTAACTCGCTCCTGCAAGATCAAGTTAAAAATTTCCAATATTTATCCTTATCTAATATCAAAAATACCACTCTGAGGTCTAGGACCTTGCCTAACACACAACCCTTCTTGAAAGGGGTGCATACACTCTCACCATACACTCTTACCATATGGACAACTCACTGACAGGTTTTTCACAGCATGTTTCCATAAAACACACAGTTTTCCAGTACTGCAGTGGCCTCACATGCTTATTTTAGTACAGGGATCAGAGTAAGGTAACCTGATCATATGGCCTTAAAACATGACAGAAACCACCTCCCTCCAATTGATGCTATTTGCACACCCATCATGCAGTAGTCAGAAATGAACATTTAAAGCACATAAAAGATCCTGTGGATTTAAAGACACACATGCATCACAGCCATTTTCACTGTGTGCAACAATAAGTCCAAGCTTTCCAAAATGCCATTATAAACCAGGTAAAAGATGAACAACTTGGCTAGCTCCATGCTGGTGATCAATACTTCCCACAGAGCAAAAGCAATGCCAAAATACAGCCACTAGAGTGAGCAGTGGGTTGCAAATGTAAAAGCCTGCAACTATAAATAGTACTTCAATTAATTTTGCTTTGCAGCTTTAAGCAAGTGTCTCTTCTTCTAGTCTCCCATTTGTACAATGGAGATATTTGCCTACTATGAAAACAACCTGTAAAATGATTTACAGTGTCTTTAAAAATACAGAAAGGTAAACCTCAAACCAGTTTCATAGCAGCTGAGCACAGTGAAGACTTCAGACACAGATGACAACTGGCCTAATAAAATTACTGATCTAAACGCTTTTAATGGACTGTTCTACCCTGCAAATCTGCAAGAAAATCGACCAATAAACCATCATAAAGAAAGCTGTCAGCAACAAAAAAAATTCAAAAACTGCTTCTCATAGGGCACCTAAGTAACCCACCTGCTGAACTATTTGCCATATCATGCAGGTAGTATCTCTGGAGCCTGAAATTAGATGAATGCCACAGTAATCTATTGCCAAGCAGGTCACGATATCTAGATAAAGGAAAGATAATGTCAGATACATAAAGCTAGTTTACACTAGAATTACTATATAAGCACAATATGTCATTAGTATATTTGGATTTGCAGTCAGCACAAGTTCAGCTGCAACAAGCACCCATGAGACTTGATTTACTAAGCAATGGTATTATATTCCCACACATAACAACCTAACTTAATCACCTTAATTATCCAAAGAAAACAGAAGTCAAACCTTATTTGAGAAGTTAATTAAACAGTCAACTAGTGACCGAAAGCCATACTCAGTCTTCAATTAGTTGTTCCTCTGTCCTTATGTTGCCTTTCTCTTATGGCTGCTCTTCCTGCTCAGATACACTGGCTATAACTCTTTCCAAAAGATCAATCAAGTATCAAGCTACAGCACCAAGATTCACATACAACCTTCATTGCAGAATATAAACAAACAGGGCTACTAACCCATGTGCCTGATGTGCTGCCCAACCAGTTTGCCTTTTGTAAGAGATGTTACTCTGATGCTATTATCCCAGTGTCCTCCACTAAACAGCAATTTTGCATCATGGGATACTGCAAACAACTTAGAGGTGATCTCCAGTCCTGGTGCAAAAGGACCACCTATGTTGCGCTGGGTTCTGCAGGCAAACAATGAACAGTTAAGATTCACCTTAGTGCACACGAACATACTTTGCACTTCCTACATCCTTAAAAAATAGTGAGAAATATTAACTGGAGAAGAGGCTATACTTAGAAAAAACAAGAAGTGAAATCCTGCTCCCCTAATATCTACACAAAACTCACACTGTCGTAAGGGGAAGAAAGACTGCACTGTAGGTCTTTTCTATCTTCTACGTGATTTGAGCTCATGTGGATAAGTCACATCTCTAGTAAATATTGTAATACTAAAGAAAAAAGGAAATTTCACAAAAGCAAGGAAAAGACATAACCTACACTATAGTATAATCAAGCACAGAGACCGCTCATCTCAGATTAAGATGAGTTTGTGTGATTCATAATTAGAAAAAATGTCAAATATAAGTGGTTTGGAGAATTAAGAACCTTAAAATACTACTTAAGGAATTTATACTGGGACAGTGCCACAGATGAAACATACTATTAATCATCATACTTGACTGAAAAGGCAGCCACTCAAAACACAACAATGCACTGTTTACTGAACATGCATGGTATTTTGTTCCTGAAGACATTCAGCTGCATTTTCCCCATTGTTTGCTTACTTTGGATTTGTCACTGTGGCATCTCTGATGAATGTAAAATAGTTGGAGATATTTTTGTCATAAGGCAGCCAACCGTGGGTTCCAATAAGGCAATTCAGGCTTGTTGTTACCTGAAAAAGTTTGATAAAAAACAAAAACAAATAAAGCAAAGAGAAATATCAGTGAAGCCAAGAGACATTCTTTTTATCCCTAATAGCAACACTTGCATAATCAGATGCTTGAGGAAAAAGAAAAATTAAAAATTGCACAAAAAAATTGATTGCAGGTGAGAGGTCCAACAGGAATGTATCAAGAAAAGCACATTAATTTCCTTCATTTTTCTAATTATGCAGCTCCAACATAGATATATAGATAAACCAATATTTTCGCTTATTTTAAGCCATGTAGACATCTTCCATAGCACTAGTGCCTGTATTAAACACTGCAAAATTAGTTTTAGGAACAGTAAAGGCTTATATAGCATATATTGTTCAGACATGGCATAGGATAAGATGTGGGTTGGAAGGCCAGGAAAAAACTAGCAATACGATTAATAATCTAATCTTACTTTAAAACTGCATTAGAAAACAGCATTAGAAAATCAATTGCTACTATGGAATCAGAGTGGGCAACTTGCAATATACCTCACCACAACATACACTGACATTTCACCAACAACTAAATGCATTTTCAGCCTTGTTTCTCTTCAGAAGATAAATATTTAACTGACAATGGACTTGCATAATAAATTGAAGAAACATTTCAACACAAACAGCTGGGAACAGCTTCTCTAACCTTTGCAGTAAGAAAACCCCACGCCATTATCTCCGGTCAACAAGAACAATATTGACACACACAACTCACCAGGATCTCTGGGCTTCCCTGAGACATAAAAGAACGTGACTGATTCCTCGGAACAACTGCTTTGACAATGGGAACACCATCACTGATACCCTAGAAGAAAGGGCATCATTTAGGTCTGATGATATTCAAGAGCTAAAGGACAACCATAGAACCTGCAAAAAAGTACAACCGAAACCTCTAGAATCAATACCACTGATTCTGATCAATACCATCAATACTATATTAAGGACTCTCAGACCTAGTTACACATGTTTAATTCTGTTACAACCACAAAATAAACCATTTCTGTCCTAAAGTAGAGAGTTTAGCCACTGACTTCAACGAGTCCTGAAATGAGTAACATTTTTAGCTTTCACAGCATGGTGAAAGTGCCAGCAGTTAGAAATTGATGAGATTCAAGCAAGCTAAAATGAGCAAGCTCATATTATACACATTACATTTAAAAATATTTTCTTCAAATAGCAAGCAAGTTTTACTTTCACGTAGGTTATGACCTTTTGTTTTAGATTAGGCTTCTAACACTTACCTCTATAAAGAAGGACTTCAGTTCAGTGAGGTGATGGAAGAGATTCAGAGTAGAGGTATCACTTCTGGCCAGTCTCTGCACTACCTCTTCTGCAGATAGTCTTGGAGGATGCGGCTCCTAGGAGGCAACATTTGAAGGAACATTTGAAGGTTATACAATCTTTGATCAATGTAAGACACAGAGTAATCTCATTGACAATCATAAGAAAGCAGAGGCTTAGTTACGCATCTAATTTGCTTTTAGAAAATAACTTTCCTTCTCTGGAAAATGCTATGTCACATTGCCATCAGTGCAATCTTTTGAAGTGTTGATATATTAAAGGATTCACTTTCCTAAAGCAATAAACATTACCTTTACGTTTTTTTGCTACAAGTCCTTGATAACTCGGTTGGATTTAATGGCACAGTCTGACTGATAAGGAACAAACAGCATTACCTTTAGCAGCTGACAGGGAGTTTGTCCAAAATTATTTATCATCCCTTCTAAAGCTTTCCTTTCTTTCTCATCCGTTAAAGCATCCAAATCCACAGCTCCTGAATCAAAACCAGAACAATGGAGAGAAAGTGAAAAAATAACACAGTTTACTGAGAAAAGAGATTGCAAACAAATACACAGAAAAAGAGCTTTACCTGCATTACTACCCATTTGCCCAAAGCCTCCAAACAGTGCATCCATAAACATGATCATCTGAAAATTCATTCAGTGAGTCCCACCCAAAATCTGCTGTTTGGATCACTTGACATTTTCCATGGTATGTGTGCCTATATACATACACATATCTACATATCTATGTGTGTATGTATATACAATAATTGGCACTCATCTGAAAAATCAAATATTTTCTGCATAACAGTGTAAACCCATGACCAACAATGTTCCAAAAGCTCCTACCTTCATAAGTACAGTAATAGAAGACATTGAGCGCCTCCACTGCAGCTGGGCCCCTCTGCTTGTAGCCAAAAATCAAGTCTATCCACTCATGCAGATGAGCAGAAACATACTCCGATTCCTAGAGGAAAAGTCACTCTGGTAAAGACAAAGATACTGCATGTTCCTAGAAGTACAGACCATGTTATGGAAGACACTAAATTGCTAAACTAAGAATATTCACAAAGTAAATACACAATAACATACGGAGCAGAAGCCTAAGAATATGCATGTATGTTAAAGGCAGAAAGAGCAAAGAGGGGAATTTAACAGAGAAGCAGCAGATCTGGATATTGAAAAAGCAAAGGAGGGTAAACTGCTGGTTACTTACTACCACAAAGAACTACATAAAAGGCAAAGTGTTATTACTTAATTCCACCAAATTTTGCTTTTCCTAATGCAAACTTCCATACTATTCGGATTTTCACGCTTTATGTATACAGTGCTTTGCTAAAAGTTCCTGTGTTACCTGCAACATCCAATACAATCACAACTCTACTTCAAATATAGTTGCAGTATTTTACACTCAAACCACAGTGACAACATCCAACTACACTGCCTTTATCATTCCTTCACTCAAAGATTCCCACAGTCATCATCTTACCAGAGCCTTCCTGTGTTTACAAATGAAGTCTTCTGGGGAGTGGGCCCATTTTGGGAGAACAACATCATTTACCACCTCCTTGGACATTTGAAGCTGACCCAGGTTAAAACCTAGCAATTAATTTGGAGATTGTTAAGAGTTACTACTAAAAATTTCAAAAGTTTTAAGTATGTAGTAAAGATCAAAAGTTTTTTCTCAACATAAAGGATAGATGCTGAAAACATCCTTCTACATACTCCTATAACCCTACTACTGGCACCAGAGACCAAGGTCTGCTCCAAATCTCTAAAAATATTAAACACTAGCTGTCCAGAGCATCCAAATAATTTAGAAGCTTAAGTCCCAACCTCAAAGTAATGTTAATCATTGGTACATCTAAACATACACACATTTGTTTTATTTTATCATAATTAAGAGTCCAAAACTTATTTGTGCACAGTTAATTTTAGGTTTAAATGACTAAGATCAAGGCTTTCAGGCTGTCTTAAATCCCACCAACTTCCACTAGAATAACTTTTTGGTTCTTAAAATGCTTTTGAAAATATGACTTGGATGTTTTAAACTTTCACAATTCAGAACTCAAGCAGTCTGTAGTTAGTAAACTGAAACATCAGGAGTACAAGCTTATTTTTCCTTTTAAATAAAACTCCCAATGCAATGAGGTGGGAGAAAACAACTAGGAGTCTCATAAAAAACAGGATGTTTCTTTTTTCTCCTCCAACTAACATCACATAATAGCAATGTTGTCACCTCATAGCAGTGAAACAGCTTTATTCTTCTTCTGAAGGGTACTGAAACCTTACATGGCTCTAAATGGAGGTGATAGCATTACAGCAGCAAATATGCTGGTTGCCTAGAAAAAAAGGGAAAGGCTTCACATGTTTGAGGAGGTCTAAACTACCACCTGAGAAACCCAATAAAGGGGCAGAATAGAATATAGTTTCAATTTTATTAACTTTTCCCAGTTAATAGCTCCAAGCCAAATTGTAAGCAAATTGTGACAATTTTCTGGAGAAAACAAGATTTTTTTTTTTATTACATTCTAAGCAGTCAATTTACCATTCTGATTCTCAAGGAACTCCGGGAAGTAGAAGAACTCTGGTATAAGTTCCTTGACATCATTGGGGTTGTCCATGAGCGCCTGCCAGGTAGCAGGAATGGAATGGAACTGGCGATCTGCACAGTCAAACCTGCAGGTCAACAAAGTCAAGTCAGGCTTTGAACATTCCCTTTTTCAAATGATGAGAAGGCACATGCTGCTTATTTGCTCACAGTATACCTGCCACTCTGAAGCTGGATGTGAAGGGTTGTGAAAGGTTCTACCCGAATGAGGTAATGCATGACACCAGCAGCGTTCGAGTAATGCGTTCCATAATGAAACTTGTCAATTATCCCTAGCGGATCCTCAAAATTCTCGTACCTAAAAAGAAAAAAAGATCATAAAAGTCTAGAGAAAATATAAATCAAAAAATACAGTGAGATCTATTCAACGTGAGGATTCAAATTCTGGTTCTCAAAGTCCCTAAACCACAGACTACAGAAAGACAGAAATTTCTAAGAGATGAAGAATCTCCCCCCACCTTTGCACATACCTGGTCTTTCTTCCCTAGGCCTTTGCTCTCAACTTACAGAAACTAGATGAAGGGCCAAATAGACATGATCTAGCAAGACTCCACGAAACAGCCGAAAGATCACATCACTAAGACCAAGACTTATCACTGAAGGAACTTGAGATGGTTTCCCTCAAGATCAGGGAAAGGAAAAAAACTGTGGGACAGCCACATGATGCAGCTAAGTGTCTCTGCCTATTTTCCTTTTCTACTGGCCACCTGTCTTCAGTGTTGTACCACCATAGAGCTGATCCATTTCTCAGTGCCACACAGCAGTAAAAGTTTTAGTTATGTACTGCCAGAGCTGGTTTCACCACAGTTAGGGATAGCCCTTAATTCAAAGAAAACTCTGCATGTTCAGCGTTTTCTGAAGAAAGCTAGTTTTGGAAAGAGTCCGACAACTGCAATCTGGCATGACAGCACATTCCCTCCTCACACTAACAAATGGGAACATTGTACTGATACGTGGGTGTAAGTACCTGTCATTCCTGCTTACAAAGGAACTGCTGGTAGTGGTTAAGCTACAGCTTATTTCAAGACAATAATCTTCGTTAAAAAAACAGAAATCAGAGGAATCTGATCAATGCTGCCTTCCAGCAGAAGCAACTCTACTTATGTACCAGTGTGATTTTGTATTTTCTTGAGTAGGTCTTTTCAAACTTATGGACCACTAAATTCACTGTTTCTACAGTTCCCAAGTCTACCATACCCACATCTAAAAAACCTCAAAATTTACAACAGAAAATTTTGTCCTTTTCATTATATGTAAGAGTTAATCCTAGCACAGCAAGGAATGAAGAACTGATGTTTACAAGTGCATCTGTGATGATAGAAAATTGCTTGTTTTACAAAGAGAAATGTAACTGATTGCTAAAATACATACTTCTCTTTCACAGCCTTAGCGTTCTTTTCATTTACCACCCCAATGGGTTTGGACAGATCTCTAAAAACAGCAGGATTGTTCAGGTCCAGTTCTTCTGAAGTATAATCTCGCAAAATCCAGGGGAACTGAAATAAACAAAAGTCACAGGTCCAATTGAGACTAAAGATGCATCTTTCAAAACAGAAAAAAGAAAAGTAGCTTGAGTAACAATTAGAGGTTTGTTTTGTAATTACCACAGGATATTGAGCAAGATCATTGTAAGTTCGTCCCGCCATTGTGTTCAGCTGAATAAGATAGTCAAAGTTGGATATTTCTCTATTCACCCATTTCTGAAAAACATACAGAAAGAAGTTATATCAAAGCTGTTATCACAAATTTGTATTGTCAGTACTCACTGTTTCCTCAAGGGTAAAAGCTATTGTATTGTGCATTTGAAACAGAGAATGTTTTCTCTAATGAAGTTTTTAAACAAAAACAGCAGTCAAAAAAACAAGTACGCAAAATTTCAGAGGACAGACTGAGGATACAGAAGTTGGCAGCTGCCTTCCAAATACCAAAAAGTCAGTATTCCAAGGTTTATTTTTACTATCTAACTTTAAAGTTGTCCTTCAAAAAGCCGTGGAATGCAGTAAAACATTTCTGCTGAAGTCTCCTACCTGCATCAAACCTGAAGCTTTGAAGAGTTCCTGCGGAGATCTTGTACCAGAAACATTTGGAGAACGTAGTGACAAAATTCGACTGTAAACTTTGTTTCTCACCTGCCAGAAAACAATGAGAAAAATCTGAGTTATTAAAGATGGAAGCTGACAAACAAGTAAATATTGTTCTGCTAATTAAAGTCTGAAGTAAAGTGAACATGGTTACTTGTTTTAAACACCTCTATCTCTTGCCATATAAAACATCTTGAGCTACAGGATAAAGACCAAAGAAATGCCTTTGTGTGGAAACTACAGACAACAATTATTTCCACAATAATGGAAACACCATGAAATATTGCTGCTATTTGAATACAGCTACAACAATATTTTCCTTACACAGCTATTTCAGAGATTTACTTAGTCTTAAAAAGCCATTTTATAGTAGAGATTCATTGACCTACTCATATGTAATCCAGCCTTTGCTCACATACATTTCTCAGCACCACAGACATAGGATCATTTATATTGTTCATAGAAAAAAACAGTTCAGTAATTCTATACAATAGAATATAAAAATATGATTTCCAATGTTATGGCAAAATTAATCCTGTTTTATAATTAAGTTTTCTAGAAGATTTAAAAGGGCATGTGGACATGAAGAGATTTAGATTACTTATGGAGGTAATTTTCAAATATTTTTCCTGAGTCTTTTTAATGATACAACAGGAAGAGTATTGTTTTATTCATCCTTTGAATCATTAGCTTCTAGATGTCAGAGAGGCTTTAAGAGTCTCTTCTTAATTTCCCACAATTGCTATATCTAGCAAACATCATGCCATTATAATAGCATAATGAAAAACACTAGACTGACATCAACACAGAACTAAAATTTAACATTTGGGCTATTGAATCAGGGAAATCTGGAAAATCCATACCTCCTTATTGAAGTTAAGGAAATAGTTGGTCTGATCTGTAAGGAAGATCTCCAAGGCTGACCTCCTCAGGTTGTATCGACGTAGATGTATCTCTCGAATTTGTGAAAGCTGCCATTTGAAATCAAAACCTAGACCTAGAAAAGGTAATCTGATTATCGACTCAAAATGCAAACTTCTCTCTTCTCACCTCCCAAAATATAACCCCCCCCCCCACACACACACACACACACATTAGCCTACTAAAAGCAGAAGGCTGACCTGCACTAAAAAAAGAAAAAAACAAGTATTATGGATCATGCTCACCTTCCTCCTTTTCAATGCTGCCATCAAAGAAATAGATGTGCTGGGTAGTGATCTCCAGCCTGCCGGGTATCACATCAATTACTGTAATGAGTTCACAGTCTTCAGACAATACTAGTTTTTCTTTCTGGCTTTGCTCCTCCTTCTCCTCCCTGCAAAAACACACACCCCACACACTAAGTGTTACAGTTTTTGGTAAATTAGACAGTTTCAAATTATACTACTAGACATCATTTTACAGCATTACTATTTCAGTATCAGACAAGATGGACATGACCTGCTCTGAAGTATGAAATATTGAGGCTACATTTGCCTCTTACTGAAGTGCTGTATTCTTAAATCAATCCTGGTCCACAGCAGACCTGTGTCCAGGTTCATAAGCCTACAAATTTTCAAAAATATTCAAAATAGAGGTTGATCAGAGGTGACATCACAAACATTCAGCAAACTTTAGACTTCAAAACTGTACTAGTACCATCCAAAGTGCCATGTCTCCACTGGAGTTCAGCAGCACAGACACAACTGTGTGCACCACATACGCTACTCTGCACCAAACACATGCAAGTCATCTCTTCCATAAAGTTCCTAATGTCTTGTTTATAAACCCAACAACTCAACTGTTCAAAACTGCTCTAAAACCCTGGATTGCCCTGAGTTAAGGACAAGCAAAGGAAGTTTTGCATGGCAGTCATAATTTCAGTAGTTGTTTTCCCATTCCTTATCCCCTACAACAGAAAAATCTCAGCTGCTTCATGCTTTACTTACATACTGACACTGACGGCTGCATCTTCCTCTGGCAGTTCAAGGACATCATCTTCCAAGTCACTCACTTTCACCTGCTTCACCACCTCAAGAAGCAGAGACTCACTGGAAGGCTGTGTCTGGTGCACACCTATTATGATATGCATTTTAACTCAGAAAATATTTTGTTACAGTTTCTTTGGAAAGCTGAACTATTGAGTATATCCTTCTACTGCTCAATGCTAATTTAAGTAGCAAACAGATTTTTTAAATATTAAGGGCAAGCCAAACACTTGCCCTCAAAGAGAAAATCAAGTTTAACTAGAAGGAAGATGGTTTCATGTCAAAGCCCTTCACTCTTATTTTGTGACACATTAGTATAAGAGGAAAAAAGAAAATCAATATTTCCTAATGCCAATTTAAATATCTACAATAGATTGATTCCTAAATACACAAATATATCACTAAAAACATGAAAAAAATCCAAGTGAGCCAAGTAAACGCAACAATTTTACCTAAATTGTCTCTCAGATCACTAGCATCCTGATGGGAGTTGAAGTTGTAATTTTGCACTAGTTTTAGCCTCATACGTGAATAATTTTCCACATTTGAAAGTTTCCAGTGAATAGGATGCTGTTTCCTAGGAAAACAAGAATATTCACAGAAACAAACGAGTCAGACTTAGGAAGTGATAAGAGACTATATTGTCAAAAAAAAGAAACTTAAATCTCCCATGCATACATTCCAAGAACACTGATACAGTAAGCTACGTGCTATTCTATATTTTGTATTGCAGCTCTGTTCATCCTAAAGCACTTTGTAGACAATACTTATTTTTCTACTGAAATACACCAGACTGTAGACTTTCAATGAACGGCAATTCAAGATATATTCAAAAAACCCCACAAACTTTGATCAGATCTCTGAAAGCTAAGAGAAGCAAAATGCTATAAACCAAGCACAGGAACTCAAAGCCTTTAGTAATAGGACTATTCTCACATTCCATCCATCATCTTGCAAGTAAGTCTTAGAATCCCTAAGCTATTTTTTTTTGACAGCTATTTTTTGTCCCTTGACAGGAAGATCCATCCTGTTCAGTATAACACTTCAATATTTGAAGTTTGATAATTATAGATAAAAAGATTACAGATGCATTCAATAAAAACTTCCCATCTCAAAAATGGCTACCTAGGTCAATTTGACAATGTTCTACAATTTTAGCAATACGAAGCAGTGTTAATCATGTAATTCCTTTTAACCAGATTTTTTGATACAAGAACTTGGCTCTTACTTTTCAGACCAAGGACCACGTTCAGAGAGCAAGTAAAGCTGGGCTGCTCTCCACTGCCTCAGAGTAGCTGTGTGTTGACTACTAAGTTGCTTTAGCATATTGTTGTACCGCAAACTTTCCTGGAGAGCCTTCCTGCTGAATGGGTCCACAAAAGACTCCTGAAAGATAACTACAAGTAAATCTAGTGCTTGAGAACGCTGCACTTGGGAATGTTAGTCAAGTTGTGCAATGTAAAGCAAAGTGAGAGAAATCTAGAAGAACTTAGTACTAGAACTGACAAAATATTGACTTAATTTATGAAGAATTATCAATGCTGAATCAATATGGAAGCTCTTCATAATTCATAATAATGATTTTTCATAATAACAGCAGCTAATTTTAGCAGCCTTATTAGATAAACATTGAGGACTCGCATTTGAATTCTAGCATCCTAGAATGTGATTGTCTTTAGTCACTTAAGTAGGAAAGACTTATGAAAAGGACCCCTAAATAAAACAGTAAAAATAAGGGAAACGCAGTTAGGTAATACACTTGCTGCAATTAACCATTAGAAGTAATGCCTAAATTGAATCTGATTCCCATAAAATGGTCAGGTTTTTTACTGTGTGGGAAAAATAGATCTGAACTGCATGTGAAAATAGATAAAACATATTCCAAGTTTTAAAGGTTTTCACAGTACTGAACTGGAATTAAAAAACCATAACCTTAGCTCAGACTTTAATTTAAAACATAAATCAGAAAAGACACAGCTTGCAGCTGACCACAAATTCAAGGCTGCTCTACTACGAGAAAGACTGACCATCTTGGAATAACTCTGCTTACATATAAGACTCTTGCATAGAAAAAGAACTAAACAGCCATTCCTGCAAGTGTGAACAGACTTAGATCATCTAAGATGATCTAGTTTTAAAAATGCCCACATCTATAACAAAACACTAGACATCAACAAGGGTAGCCTAGAACTAGGTTAGCCTTGGATTCAGTTTCTCCATTTATTAGATGACGATTCCTGAAACACTGCAACATCTTAATAGATGACCTCAAAGCCTTACCTGAAATTTGAGCTTGCTTTCTCCTCTCTCCCGGTCTCGCCTGTGCATGTTCACCATGAATGCTTCATAACAATCTTTCCAGTAAAGTGCCATATGCTCATGACAATCTCTGAATGAATTGTCTTCATATTGCTTCATGTTTGGAATAATCTGGTTCCATCGAAAGAAAACAAAAAGCCCAGTATGATTGCCGAATGCAGTTCCTCTGCTTTATTAGCTAAAAAGAGGACAAAAATCTCCTACTTACATATTTGTCAATATAAACTTGCCACTCATTTGACCTGCAATACTCTTGAAAGTCCTCAAAGAAAGAGGGGCTGCCATTAGTAGGAGGCAATGAAGGGAGATGCAGGTTCATGAAGAGAAGTTCGTAAATTTTGGATACAAGTGTTCGAACAAGAGGAATCAGAAATGAGTATGTTTCTGTCTTCTCTTCAATTGATCTACTCAGGATGCCTTCCAGCTTCCCCAGGAGGTAGCATGCTTCAGGCTGGCTCTCAATTACCTTGGTCTGAAGGAGGGTGTTTAGTTTGGCTGCTGCCATAGCACAAACCTGCAGAAACAAAGAAAATGAATGCAACACTTAAAATAGTAATGCAAGTACCTATCTTAATAGGTACATGTACCTATTCTAGTCATATCTCAGGTCATCTGAAGGCACACACACACAGTATGGCCTAAGTACCTAAGACAACAGTCCCAGCTTCCCTGAAGAACTCATTACTTCAGACACAGCTCTGCTGACTTGGTACCACATGCTGATTCACACAGAGAAGCTCAGGTTCACACACACTTAGTCTATATAAACCTGGAATTACTGATAAGTGTATTCACAGTAGAAATGAAAAGGCACAATCAGGATCACTACCCTACTACCACTTATGCATAAAGAGCCTTAATTTCAAGTGTTTTGTGCTCTAGTTCATATACTCAAGACATGCTCATGGAGACAACTGCAGAAAGATTTTGCATGTGGCAAGACTTGCTAAAAGCACCTTAACTACAGAAAAGTCAAAGACTGGCATAGTTTGCTCACTAGTATAAACAGCTCCTCTATAAAACATAACAATTTTATCAGCCATGTGCACTTAAAATGCAGTATTTGCAAGAATTTTTAACAAACCTGTAAATTATCTTGTGCAATGAATCCAAGGAGCAACTGAACTTGGACCTGTGAAAGTCTGATTGCTTCTGGGCCAGCAGAGTACCAGATGGACAGACAATCCATAAGAGTTACTAGTTCTTCCAAGAGCTGTTTTAAAAAGCAGATGTGAGAAAATTCAGAAATTAAACTACTCCACCTAAACTTCTATGTAGGAGACTCAAACAAAAACACAAATACTTGCACATTAAATTATGTTTGTTTATAAGTCGGTATTTTGAAGAACAACTTAGTAATTATGCTCAATAATGATTACTTTCAAGATTATTACTTTTTTTTAAAAAAGTAACACTTAAATAACTTTTTCCATGCATTTGTCATAAGCAATGAATGACATACAATTCTACTTTCCTTCAGACTCAAATAAAAGGAGTGACAAGATAGCTCAGATAGTCAAAGAAGTGGGACTACTACTAGAAATAACGTAAATGGTGAGACAAGTGATAGATTACTATAACGTATACTCCAAGAACTTTGGAAACACAGTCAAGGCTCTTTACCTTACTACTTTGTGTTTGCTTTCTCTGGCCTCAACTTTCTATCCGGACATATAAAATTTACTATGAGCTTGTAAAACATGCTGCAAATCCAATATGGGTCAAAACTCAGCAGTGACATTCCTCACCTCACTATGATAAAGAGCAACATTCGGTAGGTACTCATTCAGGGCACACAAAGTGACACATGCTTAGCAGCGGAGCAAAATCAGTTTAGGCTACTTCTGGTATTGCTGTATCAGCTCTTGCATTTGTTAAATAGTTCTCCAGTCTGGAGAAACTTGGATTTTCAATAAGTACCACTATGGAAATACTCAATTTGCAATATTAACTGTATTCCCTACGCTAAGCATTTATAAAGTTTCCTCTCAAAGGGCAATCCAGTTATTCCACTCAGAACCCTTACTCTTTAATATCTAGTCTAAAAACATGTGTGGAATCACAGATTCCAAACTGTCTTTCATTACTCTTTCAGCCTACACACAGAATTTCTATTATGCAGTTACTGTACCTTTTCTGTCCATAAACTTGAATTAACTAGTCCTTCTGCCTGAAGGAAATCTTGTACAATTAACAGGAGACGGAAGGCATTTTCAGCGTGTGTAGGGAGAGCTTTTGAATCTCTATTATCAGTGACCGACCATTCTAACATCTTCTCCAGCAAGCTGCATGGAAAACAAAATCCCAGAGTAATTATTACATGTTCTGAGTGTAAGTGGCTTAAAAAAATCCCATTAAGTATTTAATGAAATCTCTCTGGCTACAGTGATACAAGTGTCCTCTACACAATAAGCCAATGAGGTAAGAGACCGAGAAGCTCATGAAATCAAAGACACAGGTTTTCAAACTCCAAGAGTCACATTACACTACTAACTCCCCTTACTTTTTCTCCCCATTTTCTCAAAAGAAAGGAAGGATCCTGTCCTTGAGTAGTACTCACTTGAGCTTTATTTCATCAGAAGGTTGCAGCAATTCATTAGCAATTCCCAGTTTGGTCAGTGCAGAAAACACCTGTCCTCTCTCAATCCAAGCAGAATCATCAGACCTTTCAAGGCCTTTCCACATTATACACAGCAGGATGTCTGTAAGTAACTGTATCAGTTCATTATCACACCCCTACAAAACAACAGAAATATTTAGACCTGTTCTGGTCCAGAGTCAAACGTTCTCATTCATCACACTCCGCATACTTGCATGTTTCCCCAGTTTTAAAACTCTGCAGTCTAAAGCCATGTTACTAAATACGTGAAAATGGAAATATAAAACATGAGTATTCACCAAATTTTATAATACATACTGACTCAATTTATACCTCATTATTTACCTCATATATACTGTGACCTTTAGATACCCTTAATTTTTTTTTCTCCATAGTAAGCCTGCTATTTGCCTTATTTGGAAGATAAAGAATGTTTTGATACAGAAACATTTTATTGAAGCAAACCTATTCCAATGAAATTATGAAGAAACATATGCTTAGAAGGAATCAGTTTCCAAACTCTTTCATTACTCTTTCAGCCTACACACAGAAGGCTGAAACATATAGGGCAGTCCTTTAAGAGGACTATAGAAACTATAGTGCTTATTTTTCTTCTAGAAAGTGAGGGTAGAAGGGACAATAATTATTCCATCTGTGAATTCAGGAGAGAGAGGAAGAAAACACAACCACCCACAATACAGACATTAGGAGAAATCAATCACACAAGGAAAGAATTACTTACTCCTTGGTTTTCAAATAATGACAGATCAGTGGTGAAACCCACATCATTTATGATGCCTAGCTCCTTGTCAGGCTGCCCAGAGAAGGATTTTGTGTTCTCTACAGGTGATGGTGTGCTGGGCAGGCTATCTGTCATCTGATTCCCCATGTCAGCCAGTTCATAAGAGTCAACACTGGACAAATCTAAACTCAGGTGGGAAGGATTGCTGTGCCATAACTCTTCTTGTGCCTCTGACCTAAAAGACATCTCTGCTGCGGCGGCATCTTCCAGCGGTGTAACAGAGAAGTGAGCAGGAACATCCATGGACTTGCTGTCTTCCAAGCTCCACTGCTCAAACAAACCATTAACAGGCGTAAAGCTATCAACTTTGTCTCCCTCTGTCTTAGCAGCATAATGCTTCTGAAGCTCTTCAGCAGGAAGTTTTCTTTCCTCTTCCCTTAAAGAATCAGTCCTGCTACTCTTAAGGCCAATTCGGACAGAGTTTTCTTTCAGAAATAGTCTAACCAAAGTGTCCTGCCACCCCAGCTGCTGAGAAATCTGTTGTGCTGCATCTGGTTGGGAATGCAAAAGGTGTAGAACCTATGGATTGGAGAAAATATCCCACACATACAGGTTTATTTTTAGTACATGGTTACATCTATTCTAGCATTTAAATAAGACCTTTTTTAAACTTCAAACTTTCCTATTTTGACAACTTTAAAAAGCCACAATCAATAACAAAACATACAAGTCAATGTCAAAGACTGTTCAAGGGAAATGCGTACTTCAGAAGCACAAGATTGTATCAATCTAAATAAAAACTATCGTCATTTTTTCAGTTACAATTGATTGCTCAGACAGTAGACATCTGAACTGTAACTAGATCCATTTCCTTTATTTCCTTGGACACAGTCTTTTCTTCAAAGCATAGAACATGTTCTTAGCATATCAAACTATTTTCCAGTTGTTAACATGAAGCATGATTTTGCCAAGCTTGCAGAAAAAAACTCTTCTCAGGACTAAGTTAAAATGCTGCCAAGAGCAGATCAGCAAGACTTTTATATTTCAAGCAGTATTCTGAAACAATTCTTGGAAAAGACAGTTATAATTGTTGCTACAAATAATTCCAGCCCTTAGTCAATATAAAAATCCATCCAGCATACAGAAGTACACTGATAGGAGATAACAAACAAATAAAACCAAGAAAGCTATAGTATCAAGAGCTTTTATTTTCATTTCTCTAGGATGAATTTGAAAAAACAGCAGTGTCTTCACAGCCTTGTTCAGCACTGCTAATCCTACTAAGTCAAAGCTCAGTTTACAAGTCAGTGTATCTTCCCTGTCTCTCCCTCCAAGTCACTCCTGAAAACATGCATTTTATCAAAACAACATATTAAGAACAAAGCTTTGTTCACAGATTTAAGCATCTTGTGAGAAAAGTCAGCAATCCAAGGCATCCAGTACTTTACTTACAAAAAATGAATACTATTTGAGAACCATTACAAAGCCTATTCTTCTCATTTTGCTTTTTAAGAGTACAGCAACATGTAATAAAATTCAATGTTAAGTGACAGATTGGCTTAATTTAACACAATCCATTGCGAAAAAAAGGCAGCAACAGCCAGTACAGCCTTCATATCCCAAATAAGCAACATATGTCTTGACTATAGGTGCAAAGAACAATATTCCAGTTTTCAAGACAACTAACCTTTCTACAGATAGCCACTCTGACATTTATGTCAGATCTGTGAGCCAGATGCACTACAGCAATAAGGTCTTTATAGTTCACAACAGGGTCTGTAGGGAAAAAAATAAAATAAAAAATAGTTATCATGCAAGTGAATTGAACAACTACATATTAAAAGCTGCCTTGGAGGTCACCTTTACACACATATATAGCAAAAGAAAAACTTTAGGAAATCAAAAAAAGCTAAGATTAAGGTGAAAATTGGAAAGAACAGCCTTACAAGATAAATTGTTTTCCTTGAATGTCAGCCGACACATTCGCTTCTAAAAAAACTCCAAGAACTTACAAATGGTAAGTACAGCACATCTCTAGTTACCTGTGCAAAGAATCTGGTTAAGAAGATTTTTAATGAAAGAAACAGAAACTGGTGATTCATTCAGAAGAAGCCCCAGTCCAGAGTATCCCACTTCTCTGAGTCTCATGCGCTGCTTACTCCGTTCATATACTTTGGTACATTTCAACATCTCTTCCAAAATCTGCAGCAAAATAGTACAGACAAAAAAATAAAAGAAAAACTGAACACATGATTTCTGACTTGGTATATAGCATTCTTGTCCACAGTTCATAAAGCAAAATTTAAATACAAACTCAAAACTCCTTTATAAAGATTCCAAAGACCAACAGTTGACTTCAAGAGCACAATAATTCCACTGCGCCTATAGCAGTAAAAAAAGATCTAGCTACCGTACACGTAGAAATAGCAACAAAAAAAGAACACTTGAAGGAGTAATACCTTTGCAAGGGTATACAATTCTTCACTCAAACTGTTGAAAAATACAAGTTAACATTCAATTAAGAATATATAATTTATTACCTTGAACACAAGTTCTCTCAGCCTGTCAGAATATTTTTGATGCAATAATAAAGCATAAAGAATATCAGCATTTCCTGGTTCAAAAAGCAGTAAGAAAAGTTGGTCTGGGGTTGGGCTGGAATGAAGCAAGTTGTAGAGAACATCCAGAATTCCAAAGAGCTATAAAACAAAGACAACTAAATGAAGCCACAATTCATGCAAATTTCATGCTCTGTCTGGCAAGTTTTCTTGCTTTTCAAATTTCATCTTTTACTTGCTTTAAAAAAGGCATTTGATCTGCTTAACATTTACTACATTTAAAATGAGATTTTTGGAAAGGCATTTTTGCTATATATACAATGCTATAAAACTATAATCAGACCTATAAAGGAAATTCAAATTGTATAAGTATCTGAAAGACAAATCTCATTATTAAAACTTTTGATCCTTTTAAACCAAATCATTTGGTTAAGTAAACTAAGAATTTCTCCAATGTCAACGCCACATTTGCTTGCTGCCCTTTTCATAGAAAAAAATTAACTAGTGAAAACATAGCCAGCAAGTACTAAGTTAAGGTTCCAGTTTGCTTCTACAATATCCCTCAGTTAAGCGCCTTAGGTATCTAAATACCACCACACACACTGAATAGAAGTTCACTTGTCTGTTTTCCTCTTTTTAAACAGACAAGTTATAAAACTCCTAAGCATCAAAAAGCAAAACTAAAACAGAGGTCAAACTTAGTTTATCCACACTGAATACCTGTTCCTCTTCACTGGTGGCAGCAATATATGCTATGATGCTCTGTATTTCTTCATGTGTTCCACCTTTGCTCAGGAAATATTTGATCAGTCCGTAAAGGGATGTCCTTATTGTTCTCAAGTCATCAGGAGCCAAGTCACTGTCTTTACAGCCACTTCTGAACACCAGACAAGAAAAACAAAGCTCTTCATAACTCAGTAATGGCAATCTGCTTGTGCTAGTTTCACAGCTTTTTCAACCACCTTGGTATCATGGCACAACTACGTATTTTTACTGAAAAAGGCAACTTAATAGTAACAAGCAATAGCAGATCAAACTTCAGACACTATAAAAGCGCTAAAATATAAGTTTGTCCTGATCTGGACACAGGTCATGATTTCAGGTTTCTGAAAAGGAGAGGATTTCAAAAAAACGTGTCTTAATAATGATAATTATCCTCTCATTTCATAACAGCAATGGTCTATGACATAACTTGTATTAAGAAAAAAGCTTTCAATTTTCTAATCGTAGTGACTTTCCCAAGCATTTCTAATATCATTGCCAATCATTTTACATAATCAGTTTGCAAAAGTCAAGAAAAAAGTGGCAAATGAAGCAAAAAAAATTGTAATGTATTTTGAATAAAGTCAAAAACTAAAGCTAAATTTCACTTTTACTGTTTGATTTTCCCACTAGGGAGAGTGAGGGGGACAAGGAGACATCAACAGCTACTTGCAACAAACTAGAATCAGTTAGACATAAAACTCATACCCGTAATACATTCTGAGTGTGTCGAGAAGAAACTGCACACCATACTTCTTTCTGAAGAGCCTTCTGCTGTCTTTGATGATAGTGGAAAGATACTGTATATGCCCTGAAGAATAAAGTTTTCCATTAGAGGCTAGATAAGCATTTGTGCCAAGCAAAGTATGGGCCATCTTTGCACAGCTCCCCATGACCCAGAGCTCACCAATTCTGTAAGGGAAGTCCCCACTGTTCCAGATGCTGAAGTCAAACAGTAAGTGGTGATACATCTGTTGCAAAAGCTGCATATTCTTTTCTACTGAGACCTGCTCTATCAACAACTGTACAGCCATCAGTACATTCACATCCATCAAGTTTCTTGGCACCTGCAAAAATAACAGCATATTGAATATCCTAAATATTTTTTCCACTTTTAAACCTTTTTTTGGTGATTCTTTCATCCCCTCTCCTTCTTTCATAGTAAACCACAAATACAGTTCATGATAAAGCACAATTCTCATTTTCTGGAGAAATTAAGCATGTTTCAAAGTTTCTAGGGCATCATCCACAACATTCATTATGGAACGATGTTTCTCAAATTCATTTACCTTCTGTAACAAGGCTCCTAGGGTAGCAACTCCATGGGAGTGAATGAGGTTTTCTTGATTAACAGGGTGTCTTTGAATAAAGTGTTTCATCATCAAGATGAAAGTTGCAACAATATTCTTCTCCAAACGAGCCTCTGCAAAACAGGGTAACAAGTTGCAAAAACTTGTTTTTTTCTGGAACCACTATATAGAAATAGACAGCAGTGTCTGTATTCATAAAATTTCTCCAACTTTCCAAATCTTTATCTGTCTGTTCTCTAGCAGCAGGCTATCTTTAGATTTTTCCAGTGCACTGATTCCATGCCTCTCCAGAACAAACCAACCTCAGTCCTGCCTGTGGGTGTTTCATTTACCTGGCTGGTAAATGTGTACAGAGATAGGGGTCTTAACATTTCCCTAAGGAAAATTTTACCCATTTTCACACACCAGTGCTGATACTGTAAAATCTTACTGGGGCAGCCTGACCCAGCACTCAAACAGCAGAAAAGTCTCACTTTTGGATGTTACAAGACTTTGCATCAGACAATTCATTATTTCTCAGAATATTCAGCAACATACTTCTTTAGTTAGAAAAGTAGTAACTGCATATTCTGACTTTAATATAAGACCAAATCATGAAAAGAAAAATAGTGTTATTCAATATACTTAAATTTCAAATAAGAAAGTTAATTTCACACAGCACTCCTGACATTCAGTATTCATGTTTGATGTGTAGAAGCAGGAATAAGCTGTCAGCATTACATGCTACATTGGAAAAAAAACAGCACATAATACAATGTCTTTCCACCACTCACTGGAAAGTTTGTAATGAAAGCTTAAAAATGACTTGATCCCAACTGAACTTGCCTACCTGATGCCTTTGTGGATGACAATACTACCCAGTCTCCCTCTACAGGGGTAACTAGTTCTGAGGATAGCGTTTCCCCTTCAGACTTTTGAGGCATTCGCCCACCAAGAAAGCTGATCTGCTCCAGAAGCGGAAAGAGCACGTTTATTCCACCAATGCAGTTGATCATATCCTAAATCAAGAAAAACAGTAGGAAAGAAATAATCATGTCTGAGATTTAAAATCAAGGTACTAGTACCAAGACAGATTAGCAGTGTGCTAATGTCAGTTTAGATTTTAGTTTTAGGATAGACTCACACCTAAACTGCCAGATTAAATGAAAGATTAACTAAAAAGACACTGGGACTGTACTTGCTGCATTAAGAATATATTGAATAGCTTCATTGAAATAGAATCAGGTATTCCAATGTACCAGCCACTAACAAAAAATTATTGTAAGATTAATGTATAGTAGATACAAACAATATATAACAGTTCAATGAGTTTTTGGTATTTTCTCTGAATTAAGCTTTTGGATTGAAGGATCACATGGTACTGTCAGCTCCAAGTAGAAATAATTATAACCAATGAAATTCTCTATGAAAAGTAGTATCTGATTCTTCAAGTATTTACTCCTTGATTTCTACTAAAGTTACCCAATTTGATATTTGTAATGACTAATATAACAAAAGTCACAAGTATTAGTTAAATCCTACTAATCTCAATCTAATTCAAAGGTTTCAATGGGGGAACAAGTGACAGAAACATCTAAAAAATACAAAGAGCTTTTGATATACAACATGCATGGAACAAATTACACAGATCCAAGTCAGCTGCCACAAAAATATTAATGCCTTATACATGATGCTAAAAGGAGTAAGCCCTGGAAACTCCTCAGTTTAACATATACTGCTCAAGCCACAGCATTAACCTCTTAATTCTTACTATAAATACCTGTTGTGCCTGTTAAATGTCATCAACATCAGCTTTCGGCATTCCAAACATTAGGTGAAAAATGTTAACTGTTGCACCGGCATCAGGCACTGGAAACCCAGTACGCACTTACCTTGATGTCCCAGTTCACTACTTTGTTTCCAGTTAGTCTTCCATGTAAAAGATTCGCAGAAAGGTCAAGACAAATTGGGTTTCTGCAGGCCTATAAAAAAAGAAAAAAAAAGGAGCTTCAGTAACATTTCAGAAGAGAATCACAGAGCCCAAAAGTTCACATAAGGGTTTGGAATACTTAATACACTTTAGAAAGGTAGTGCCTTTGTGTTGGTATTAAGCAAATTTGGTAGTCTGGCACAGTTTGTTAGATTTGGCATTCACAGTTGCACAAGAAATTTCTGTTACTTTGGAAAACAAGAACAAAGCCTACTATATTTTCCTATAACAACCACAACGTAAAGAGAACTCATTTACTTGTCCTAACAAACAGCAAAAGCAAAGTAAAAAAGACCATCTGAAACATGTTCCAAGATGTAAAACAGAAAGCCACTGTGTAAACAAAAAGACATTATCTTTTGTTTCATACCTTTGGTGTATAATGAAGCAGCACCTTACTGGGGAGATCTGCTACTTCAGACTCTTGAGATTTCCATGGAGTTAAACAGTTTGGACCTGTAAGATATTTTGAGTTCACTAGATATTCATGTTGGTTACTACAAATCTTATTCTACTGTACTTTGCAACAACAATAAAAAGGACACTTAAAACCACAAAACCATACCTATGAGACATGTTTTCAAGTTAACTTTTTGACATAAAACTTTCATTTCATAGGGTCATCTTAGAAATAAAACAATTCCTTGCTGAAGATCTACACTCCGCAAACAGATTCTCTTTTTCGTAATTTGAAGATCACTGATGTTTGTCTTCAGACATACCTACCTCACATTTGACTAATCTCTGCCACCAAGCACAAGCATCCATGAAATGAGTTACCTTTAAGACTGTGTTATTTAATAACACAGAATATTTCCTCAAAATGCTTTTTATCCTAAGTATTTTTATCCTAACTTCTAACAATCTCAGAACCTCACGGAACTTAATACCTTAATATATTAAACTATAAGACAGTTTACCATTTTTCAAATATGGAAAAAAAATCATAAATTATTAGCTCATTCTTGTGTTAAAAACACAAAACAAAACACTTGAAGTCACTGCCCTCATTTATAAGCCATTCAGAAGAGCCTCAGCTGCCAATTCACATGTAGGCAAACAGCAGGAAAAATTAAGAGCGACAAGTTAAATTACAACATAATACTTCAACTTTTGCAGGCCGGTATATAAAATGAATGCGTTTGTCAACTTTAAATCTTAAACATAACTTTGTTAAAACAAATCAACTCAAGACTGAATGACAAGTATTTTTAAGGTCCTCTCACTAAGGTTAGCTCTGTGGTTCTTCTAGAGAGTCAATTCTTGATTTGTGCCTCAAGCATCCCGCCCACGCTCATCCCATTATTTACCAGCCTTGTTATATTAAACTTACACAACCACCACTTACCTGCCAAATACAATGCTTTCACCTGATGGGGCTGCAGTGCTTCATGGAAGATGATCACTGATCCAAGCTGGCCCTCCAGAGATGTTGGACAACCCCATTCACTATCTTGAGTCCCTGCTGAGATCATCTTGGTGACAAGTTCTGGTTTTGCCAGGACCCCACTCCAGCCTCCTGTCGAGAGGATGCCTCCGAGGGATGTACGATGCGGCATAACGGGAGAGGAAAAAGGTGGGTCTGGTATCTGGGATGGAGGAGGAGTTGTTGTTCTTTGTCCAGCTGAACCAATGCAGCAAGAAGTAAAAGGCTGGAAAGTCAAGCACAGAAGAGAACAATACCTTATCAGCAAACACTAAGCTAGTAACTGTTACTCCCTTTCCTCTACATGTATTCTGCTTTATTGCTTGATTTAATTCAGTAGTCCTACTGCAAAAACAACTGCTCTGAGAGCTTGCAATTATGGGTGAAGATATACAAAATGAACTTACTTCATTCATAGCAGGAAACCGAAGTGGGGCAGAGACCTTCTGTTGACCATTGACATAGATGTAAACAAGGCTCTGACCAAAGGGCCTCTTCCCAGGCATGTGAACAATAGTTATGTTGTGCTGGTTAAGCAATGCAACATGAAAATAAGTCACTAGATTATTAAAAAGCAGTGAAATAACTGTACATAAATAGTTAACTTCAACATTACTAATCTGGTGGGTAAACCACATAAAAACTTCTTTACATTAAAAAACACAAAATAAATCCAAAACATCTGCAAGAAGATAATATCATCTATCAACTGCTTCCTTTCATAGTGCTTGACATTTACACAGGATTTTGGAGGAAAAAAGATACAGCTCTTTTATAATGCACAGCAGCCCTTAAGCATAGGGAAAGAAAAGGGCAAGGCAAAAACACAGTAACACATTTCACTTACTCATTAGCCCCACAGCCATTTATACTCATTTTAAAAGTGCACATATAAAAATTCTAAGTACAATGCTAGTGCAATACTACCAATACCAGCTGCCCTAATAGAACCGGCATAATTTAGCTCAATCAACCACTAGTTATATATAATTAAAATAGTGAACACTTACATTGCCTTTTAATGTAAGTTATTTAAGTTTACATAATTTTAAAATATACTGTGTATATTGCAAATAACAGAACTTATGACTTGTAAGCTAACACTAGTCTGCCTTAAAGTGATTTTCAGCATTGAACCTTACCCAGAGGGAGTCACAAAAGCAATGGTCAGGCAGCATCACTGTTGCATACTCCCTCTTTGTGCAAACCGCAACCACCAATACTCCAGAGCACGTAATGAAGGCTTCAAAACCCATACCACTTCCTGTAAAAAAGCTACAGGAAAAGCCAAAACAGTCAGGGCACAACTCAAAGCTTTTTACTTTATAACATAAATCTATCCCACTAGTGTTGAAAAATCTCAAGATTTTCAATGCAGGACACTGCCAAAACCCTCTGTTCAGCAGATGGCACCCTGCATCAAGGTTGCACCATGCAAACACCGTGGGGAGCCACAGAAACTTGAAAGGCACCAACCTGTTTCTATGATGATCAATAACTGAAGTGCCACTCTAAGAGGCCTTGGAAAATACTTATTCTGTTTTGATCAAAATTGCATATGCCTACATTTCTCATGAAAATTCACTGTAATGGATTGAATGGGTAGATTCTTCTGTTCCACATGCTGCATTTTGGTTGCTATTCTATGTCAGTCTAGAGAAGATTCTTCTATGTTTACCCACACTATCAAGAACCAAACAGGTTGATGACTATTTAAAATAATGAAGAGGTCTGTCCCATTGCTCCCTCATAGAAAATAAACTCCAGCATCCTTGCAGGAAGCAGTTTTGTTGGTTTGGGGCTTTTTTATTTGTTTTTGTAAGCTACATATCTTAATGTTAATCTTAACACAATTTAGAATTATGCTCTCCTACATACAGTTGCAGTGCACACTAATAGAAAAGCATCACTTATTCCTGTAACACTGCCTGGCCTTAGCAACAGATGCCACTCTTCCCTTCCCCAACCTGAATTAAGTGCTATATGCTGCATTCTGAAGATAAGCCCAAGCAGCACATATAGCAAGGTACCACATGCCACAGGGAAGAGAGGATCTAAATCTGTTCTACTAAAGTAGTCCTGTTAAACATACCTATAGAGTTGCTTCCTCTTGCTATTTTTGCTAGTCATGCTAGGGGTCACTTGGTCCTGGTCAAGGCAGAGCCAAGCATTGAAAGAAAAGGCAGAGCCTGGCCACTTATGAATGGATGGAACAGCAATTCCTGCCATACTGTGGTTCAGGTTGAAGTACTGCAGGGCACTGGCCATGCCCTGCTTCCGAGCCATCGCTAGGATGGCTCGCATCACTGGCACGACGTAAGGGTGGGCCTGCTTGGGTTCCTCGGTCCTCAGGAGCCGTATGAGTCGGAACAGTTCTTCTGAGCTCATGGACTGGCTCCCCAAAGAGCCCAGAAGGGCAATTAGATTTTCTGCACAAGAGCTGTGGAGGGCAGAGTGGGAATTCAATGTCTCAATGATACGTATGACCATGTTTGCATTGACACATGTGGCTCGACTCTGCCTGTTAATGGAGCAGATTCGCCTCAGCCAGCTTGAGATGAAGATCTGCAGATCATGGGACTCGAGCTCTGGAAGCCACTGGATAAGCAGTAATAAGGGCTGCACGTTGCTAATGCCCAGCATGCCAACAGCCATGTGGTCACCTTCAACAGCCTGGAAGAAAGCAGAGAAGTCAAAATTGAGACATACTGAAATACATCAGAAATAGTCAAATAGAAACCAGTATTTTAGACAACATTTAAAGCAAGCACATCTCACCATATTCATGAGCTCTTCCAGCAGCTCCCGTGAGGGTTGACCTAGCGATTTCAGTACCTCATATATGTGTGCATAACCAATTCTTTCCTTGAAGACCTCCTGAGGATAAAAATTCCAGCATCATTAGCAAACGAAACAGACACAAATTGCTTGCTTAGTGCAACTGGTTTTCATTTACCATATCATATTCAGAGATAAAGTAATCAGGATGCAAGAACAATTTCACAGGCTAAAAACCTCTATTTGGTAATACATATATATATTGTGCTCTCTAGTGTGCAACAGCTGAAGAGATCTCCTTGCAGTAGGCAGGTATACAAAGTTCTATTTTAATAATCACCTACACAAAAATCTAAGTTGATTTAGACTATTCAAAATGATAAGTCTAACAAAATAGCAAGTTTTATATTTTAATGGAAGAAACACCATGAAATGAAATGATCAGGTTCAGAATCGGAAGTATTCTGATAATTTTGAGTGAAAGATTTTCTTAACAACTTTATTAAAAACCACACTTCCTAAACATTTTTTTAAGTTACAAGTGTGTTGTAGGATTGTTTACTGAAAACTTATTTTTACATACAGAAAAAAATTAAAGCAGCAAATAAATAGTAAAGCCCATTATTTTCATTTAGTAAGTAGCCAACAGATTAGATGGAGTGAATGCTTTTCCCTGTGTATTTTATACTGAAGTTAAAACTTTTCTTAATAGCTGAATCTGTCAAAGGTAAGATAATTGCTTTAGAAAAAAAAGTGTACATGGCAATGGAAACACAGTTGAAAACTTATTAAACCTTTATGAATTACACACAATCCCCTGCTATACAACTCTTCCCAGGTTCCCCAGAGTCAGTGGAGAACAAACACTGAGTAATACTCCAGAGCAGCTGGAGCAAATGACCATGCCCTTCCCTCTGCCTTCACTGTGCAGTCACACCCCTTTCCCTGTGCCAAGGCCAGGGAATCATTTAACCCCAAGACAAAACTAAGGAAGCCAATAATCTAAGAATAAATCCACTATTTTTCTGCATGCTTAGTTATCAGATTCACAAACTAACAATTTATGTAGCCTTTTATCAAGCCTCGAGAATAACTGGAAAGGAAGGGGAGGTGAATGGCAGGACCTCATCTTGGACAGTAATCCTATCCTGGATAAGTTTAAACTAATGGAAAGGCTACACCAAACACACCTGCCTGAAGCTATCTTCTGCAAACACCCACCAATTTCACCCAAATACTCATGGGACAAGTAATGATGATGCACTCACTTCACAAAATTTCTGACTAATATTAAAACTCTGACCTCCTAAATTTTGATATAAAGACAGCTCAGTGGCCAGTCATCAGAAATACAGGGGTATCGAAGCAGATCTGCTGTCCCTATCTGGCAAAGAATGAGGGCCAAGGAGCTACTATTTTTTATTCACAAATTTCCTCAAAGTTTTGCCATTAAAATGCTATCTGAAGACAAGATCAAGAGCTCTACCGCAAGGAGATCTCTGCGTGTATACTCTTACCTTCGCAGCTGGAGAATTGTGCATTACTGCTGTGAGGGCTTGAATGGTGGAGACTGCCAAGCAATCCAGGTGCCCCTGAAACACCTGAAAGTAACAGGCACAGATGTTAACAGCAACACACAGTCACACTCCAGTGCTGCACCCTCCTGTCAGGATGAAAACTGAGTTTATTTCCAAGTGTCAAAAATCACCTCCCTGGCAAAAGGATTTCATAACATCACAACCTGCAAGAAAGAATGCATAATGGATAACTAGTCACATACTCCAAGGGGAGGAGGGAAGCACTCGCAAGACACATTGGACTTCAAACGTTGACTGACAAACTCTTTTTCCTCATGCATCTAATGGACAACCTCAAGAGGGAGGGAGGAGAACAAACTAAACCACCTCTTGTTGCATGTGTACGTGGAGGCTGCTAAGCCATCAGGCATCTGCAGTCCACATGAAGATGTTTTGTCCATGTAAGTCCTACACAGCAGTGCAACACACTAACTTAGAGGTTTGTTACTCATATCTAGTAAGGTGGCTTCTCCACCCATATCCTCAAGTTCCTCTTTTTTTTTATAGTGGTATTTCTTACTTTGAAGGACAAAAGCATTGGAGTGTTATCTTACATCCAACATTAAACCAAATGAGTACAGCTAGACAAAGTGTACTGTTTCACCATCTCTGAAATATTATACTTGGTATCAGACATTAAAAAAATTACATGTCAAAAATCAGAAGGCTGTTAGAAGCAAAGAAATGTTTACATGCAGACAGATCTTCAAACTACTACAATCTACAAAACCCAAAGCTATTAGTTAAGAGCATGATTTGTAGATTACTGGTTACAATTTAGAATTTCATTACTTTTTAAATCAAAATATCATTCTAAAACAACACTTTGCATTTGCTGCTTCTCATATTTCATAAAAAAATAAAAGCAACAGGTTATTCCCACCTCCCAGATTCAGCATGTCCATTGCTTTGTGAACATCTGTTCTTGATGACAAGCAAAGAATTAAGATAGCAAAAACAGAGAGATTCACAAAGCCCCAGAATCCAAACACCATAGTGCTGAGAAAAAGTAGTAAAAAGGAGGAAAGAAGGGGGAAAAAAAAATCAGCACCATGTTGATAGAATTTATTTGGATTACATTCATGTACTTCACCTTCCTCAAGTTATAAGAAGTTCAATCGAGGTTCAATCTACTGCTCATCTTTTGGAATTTGAAGCAAATAAATAAAAGGGAAGCTGAACTCAATCTGTTCGGACCGGAAATACCAATTTGTGCAGGAGCAGAAGTTCAACTTGCTGCATGAGATGAAGGTGAAGGTTAAGGTGAAACACATGAATCAATTTTCCTGTCATTGTGTCTTGACTTCAAGTGAAGCAAAATACAGGTTAAGTAGGTACCTGGTCCTCATTCATTTCTGCCAGTAATTTGTTGGCAAGGTCTTTTTCACTCTTGTCTGCCACTTTATTGTTAACATTTAAAAACAGCTGTTAGAAACAGAGACAAGAATAATGGAAAGAATTGCATTAAATATTTACCTGTGGAGGCTGCCTTGGAATCACATTTCATATAGAAGTGAGTTCTCACACAGGTGAGACACAGCCCTCCATTAATATTAATCTTCTGTTAATTCTTACCATACTGAGGTTAACATTCTATTATGGCTATATAGTGATTACTCTTTTCCAGGATAAATATAAATACTTAATTGCTGAGACAAGGAAATAAACCTGGTTAGATGCTGTATTGGTCACTAGCTTAACATTTGTTATTCCATTTATAAGAAACAACATTACAGGAGGTTCTTTAAAAAATTACTGGTAAGAAATATAGAAATTAAAGAAATTGGTAGAGATGTCTCCCCATTTTCCACTTATCCCAAGTGAAAGGTGAAGACACCTTGACAAAACATCTGTAAAGCAACAGTAGCAAAATGACTAGGGGACACAAAATTTAAGGAAACAAAACACCTGTGCTATCACCCTAGTGATCTAACTGGTTGGAAATAGCTTTAAATTGAATATACACAGCCATTCTGCACCTGAAGCTAAGTTCCCTGCTTATGGAAACTAGATTCCTAGGCAGTACTTAAATTTGTGAGGTTAAAACTAAATATCTTCATACTCTATTCTTGTTAATTTTCAACATACTTTAGATATCATCTAGTCAGAACTTACTGTCTTCTGTTTTATATCTCTCTACTAAAGGAACATTTAAAAAGTCTGAGCAACACATTAAAAGTCCCTTTAGTAGGGATATTTTTGCTACATTTTCTGTTAGGTGTCATCTCTGTAGTGAGGCAGTCTAAGAAATGACCTTCCATGAACAAGTGCAAATTGAAGGACAATATTCAAAATATTACTTCAACTTACACAGCTGTGAAAGCAAATACATACAAACTGAGCAAGCTGGAAAAGAAAATTGCACTTGATACTGCCTAATAGTTGCAACATTAGCACCTGGATGAAAGAACAGACACCAAGAGCAAGCTTTTTTCCAGATGAGTTTCTTCATTTTTGATACTATAAAGGAAAAAGTTTAAAGCGTCCACGTGGCTTTAATTCTTCTAACTTAAAGCTGTTCAGACAATTGTGTTTTCTCAACCAGGGATATTCCTAGAATAACTGTGCTTTGCTCAGTCTGATCGCTAAGAGTTTGACAGAAGAGATACAAGACCTATAAAGCACTTCGCTGAACATCTCAGACTAGAAAAATCCTCTGAAATCCAGTCACTCTTCTTGAATACAAAAAGCAGAAGACAATATTCAGTCTCAAGACTTAATTGAGCAGTTTTGAAAAAGCTCTTGCACAAATTCCTAATCCTGCAGGTTTCTAACCCTACTAGATGGTAGGGAAAAAAGATTCAGAAATAGGCACTCTCCATGGCTAATTACAAGAAATTCCACAGTTAAACTCATATTTTCAATTTGGCTTTCAAAGGGAAGGAGCTATGCTGAAAAGTGAAAAAAACACCCCTCCCTTCAGTCATTCTTGAGGATATTTTGAGGTTAACACATACACCCACACATTTAGAATAACATATCTCACAGTATCATTATGACACAGGCAGAGTAAAAATGAAGGGAGCCCTCTGTAAAAGCAGAGTAAGTGCTCTCGCTTTTCTTAGTTCTAAATCCCATTTAACTGACAGCAGAAGCCAACTCAGGAGCAAGTAAACATCGCGCTGCTTAATGATTTAAGAAACTATAAAAGGAGTTTCTTGCAGAGCACAAGGTCAGTACAAAAACAGGCAAAGATGCCCAAACAGAGAAGTAGAATGGAAAGGTCAAGCATAAGGTATTTTGAGTACAAGATTAAAAACAAAAAGAACACACACTCTTCAAAACACTCCCAACTGGCATTCTGCCATTGATTTTAGCTGCAATAATGTCATAACCCAAACACACACATTTTCAATATATTACCACATAAAAGTAAGTTCTAATCAAAAAGACCTAGGGGATTTGAATCAAACTGAAAACCGCAGCTAGTGTTCAATTCACCTAGTATTCTAAATGCTCAACATAACAATTTCACCAACTTATCACATGCAGTAACAAAATATTCCAGACAGCTGCACCTTATCTATGTTTTTTTTTTTTTTTTTGGATGGGATGTGAAAGACCATGACTTGCTAATTATGACTAGATGGGATCAAAAGGAAAACAACCTGCCTGTGTATATCTATGTCAAAGCTGTATTCTAAATAGGAGGGCAACAAGTGCATTTGTAACAGGTAAGGCTCATTTTCGAGTCAGCTACACAGGGCTTGCCACCAAATTATCTGAACCACTCACACAGCTACACCAAAAAGTTTGTTTTCTTTTTTAATTGAAAAATACATTTCTGAAGTTAGAATTCAATGGTCCATTCAGCAGTAATTTTAAGTAACTTCTCAAGAAAACAGCAACGAAGTATTTATGGGGAAAAAAGGAGGAAAGTGGGATGAGTCACAGAATCACCTTGAGTTTTAGGGACAAAACAGTCTATAAAGGTATTTTGCTCAGGATGTATATTCATCACCTCATCACAAGGAAGATGAAAAGCACCTCTACTTTAGTCACAAAAAAAATCAGACACTTTAGCTGGTTCATGTCATTAGAGGCTCTAACCAAGCCTCTTTCACATAAATACTACAAATTGTATCCAATATAAAAAGAAAACTGCAAAGGTTATTATACTTGCATTTATTACAAAAAGGGTAAAGTTTCATTAAAGATACACTGGTGAGGGAAATTTTACCTTGCAGTTCTGCAGCAGTCGAATGAGATGCTCAAAGCAGTTACTGTTAAGGAAAATGGCCTGCAGAACAGGCCTATCTGTGCAGTCTAACATGGCTGTGACGGTGTCTACAAAATCAAAACAGAACTGGCATCAGACACAAAACACTTCCCAAATCCATCATGCATTTTTCTCCATAACGTATTTTAAAAAGGATTAAGAAATGGGATATAGCAAACATGGGGAAAAATAACAATAAACTTCATAGTCTACATTTTTTGACCAAGTGATGTGTACTTCGACATAGAGCTGTAGGCCTAAAGCTAAACAGTTCAACTGAAATGATCACATAGCACACTGTATCTGCAGAAAAAGTCAGCTACCGAATAACTTTGATTGCTCTGGACTTTTTTACATTCATTGCCACCTGCATATATATATGAGTTTTTTTTTTTTTTAAAAAACAAGCAGTCTTGCTTTGCTTCATCCTGAAGTGATGCCTTCTGCACTCTGAGCAGCATTTTAAGCATTTTCATCACCTCAATACTTTTGCTCAGCTTTCTTGTAGGTCAGGGAAAGGAAATGACTATTTTGGCTATTCTGAACATCAAAACTCGGGAAGGAGAAGAGAGATGGCACCCTATCCTGAATGTTCATCCAATGACTTAGCACCCATTTTCAAATCTATCATCTTTGGCTAATGTTCACAACAAGGCCATCTGCAAAGTTAACAATCACAAAACAACCACCAGATACCATCATCTTACAAACTTTTCTTATTCTGCAATTATCAAGGTACCAATGAGTGACAACTGTTGCTTTTTTTTCTTTTTTTTAAAGAGACTAAGACTCTGGATTTGTAGAACTCTTCCTTCTCAGTTCTTGAACCTTGACATTCTGGTTAAATGGTAGCAATTTAATACACTTTGTTTTCTGGAGTGAATCATTAGAATATATTTAAAACAGTGTCAGGAAAAAAGCATTTGAAATTTTTCACTTGGAATAAATGTTCTTTGCTATCTGAGAACACTGTTGAATCACCAATTCAATCATTGCTTGTTTCTGAGATAGAAATCAAAATATTTTTAAAGGAATATTTGGATACTCACTCAGCATTTGGACCTGTAGTGCTATAAACCTCTTCTCCCACTGCCTACATCGCCTTGCATTAGGTAACGCAGAATGGTCCGAATTTAGCAACTTGAAATAATTCTCCAAGATTGTACTGGTCTCCACCTGCCGCTGGTCAGAACTGCTGGTTAGAAGGATATGGACAACTTCTGTCAGGCACTTCAGAGTGAGCTCAGCCTTCCTGCTCACTTCCTCCGGGTTCCTGTCATCCCAGTTGTCACAGTCTGCTAAAACACGCATCAGAACTTCCATGGTGGCAGGAGACACTGCTTGAAGAGCATTCCTCTGAAACCCATGGGGAAAAAAAATGATTAAGCATATAAAAAAATCTCAAATCTCTTCAGTTTTCATTTGTGCCATCCAAATTGTGTAAGATACAATACTGAATTTGTCCCAGTTTATGCACAATAATTGTTGAAGAGCCACTAAACCTACTACTTGAATTAAATTGATTGCCGCCGATGAAATGCTGCCCATCTTAGTCTTTCTTTTTGAAAGATAATGCTTAAAGAGGATTTTTATAAATATAATATAAAAGAGATGTTCTAACTTTCATTTAAACAACATCTTATAAGACTGCCTCAAATTCTGTCAAACCTAAATAAATCTACATTTGAAATTTCTTTTAAAAATCACACTGAATGATTAGCAAGCATTTATCAGAGCCTTGAATGACATGAAAATACTAAGCTCACATGAATGTTCTTGTGGACAGTAGTTTTCCACTACCATTTGACCTAGCTTTTAGCATTTAGATACTATTGCACAGAATGGTCCCAAACTTGGCAAGAAAAAAGCAAACATGTTCAGCAATAAATCTTTTATGCATTTCCCATAACCCTTAAGTCTTAAGAGTGAACAGAAAGTTGGCGGCTTCAGAAGCTGGAAAAAAATTGAAAATCCTTACCTGACCACCAGCCACAATAGCTCCAAAGAGATGCAGCAAGCAACATTTCAGGCTTTCCTTGAGATGTTCGCTTTCTTGAAAGCATTCTGGTTGAAATAAAGAAAATGTAGTAGAATTCTTTATTTTTGCGATAGAAATAATATGAAGCTTTTTTGTCTAAGGAAAATGCTGAAATAATTAAAAAAATCAACTCCACTACTAATCATCATGCAAGTTTTAAAAAATCAGCTACATAATCTCTACTGTCTTTTACATAAATCGAATCAAAACTTGAATCATAAGCACAATCACAACTTGTGATATGCTGACATCCATCAAGCAACACGACACCACCACATTTATCAGGAATTTCACAGGGCCGGACCTCCATCTTCCATAGAACAGCAGTTTCATGCAAATTGACAGAGTCAGACACAGCAATCATTGATCTGATCCATACTATAGGATTAGCCCATTTTGACCATACTATTAAGATATAGAAGGACATTCTAACATGCAAGCTGCAGAGTTAACAGACATGACAAAGTTAAGGGCAGTTAGAGGCTAGAAAGGCTCACGCCAAACCAATGCATAGTGTCAGAAAAACAGTGCTTGAACTTGCTCCCAGACTAAACCTTCCAGGGAAGTCTGTGCAGGTCTGAAACCTTTCCAGTATAGACACTTTGAAGACCATTATCCTGCAATTTTTCTCATGTTATCTCTGATGAAAATCACTTATAAGCAGCCTCTTAGCAACAGATATCAATACAAATTGTTACTGTTGCTATAGCAATAACTAGACTCAAAGTAGCTGCAACTGAAACTACAAAGTATTATTTTACTGAAATTAGTAATTGAAAAAAACTTCCCAGCAATACTAAGGTCTCTGAATCACTCAGGTTTTTAAAGTGAGATTAAGCAAGCAATAAAAACCTAGCATTTAAAATTTCTATGTTAAAATAATAATATAACCTTTATATCAGTTACTAAAATAATGCTAAACAACATGCTGAACATAAAACTGCTTTACCAGAAAATTGCACAGCTCTAAAATTGTCCTCAAAGGGAAAAACACAGCCTACATGATCACACTGTTGGTCTGCTGGTCCAAACACTCCCTTGACTTACAGCACTGAACCTCTTGGGAAACCTCAGATTAAGTTCAATAGAGCAGTACACCTTGCAGACATTGAACCAAGCCATTAGGTAGGTGGAGAGAAAAAGACTCCAACTAGTGCTGCCATGGCAGGAAGGTCTGAGCATGAGCTCTGCAGCTTTCTGTTCCATTTCTTCAGCCAAATGGTTAAGCAGTAGATGACTCTTCCCCTCAACACACAGGCCCATAGTCACTCACATTATATGATAGCTATAGACAGCAGAAGGTGACACAGGGGTAGCAAGTGGGGAGGAGAGCTCCTCAGGGTGACACTCCTCATTAGCAGCCACTGCAGTGGCTTGCCAGTGACTGGCATAAGGGAATGGTGTTTATTGGCCTCAGCTGTCTGTTCTTTTTAGATACCCATCTGTCTATATCCTTGCAGGAAAGGGCATTGCAACAAATAGATAAAAAAATGAAGTCTGTTGCAGTGAAGGATGCCACATATACAACACTTCCCTGAGGCAGGCAATACATTATTTGCTTTCTAATCCCTTTCTTGAAATTCTCATCTGTTCTCCAGTTAGCCAGGCTAACTCATCTATGACTCATATGGAGATTATTAATCTTAGACCCTTGGAGAAGCAGTAACAGTCACTCAACCATCAATTCCCCTGCACAAGAACTGAGAAAACAAGTTCTCTTCTACTCAGCAAAGGAACTGGGCAACAGAACAACCCATTCCACCTCCCAGGTCCCTGCAAGGGAACATTTTAATTCCCAGTTTGGCAGAGCTCTTAAGTGGTGAAGTCCCAGTTTCAGATCTCTAGCACCATTCTCCATATAGATCCATCCATTCTGGGATCTGAGACTAACTAGATGGCTAGTTCCCAAAGTTGAATCCTGGGAGCCTGTACCCAGTTATGCTTTTCTTTAGCTGATCTGTCTTGTAAGGAACGAAAAGTTTAGGATGATTACAGAAATAAACCTTTAAGCCTGCTAAGAGCAAATTTGCGTGTTGAAACAAGGAGATCTCTTACTTAGCTGTCAGACTAACTACATAAAGTCACAGTAAGCTTAGACTAAGGTTCTGCCAGAGTCTTTTCTGGTGGATCCGGGCCTTAAGATGCCACAGATCCGGGCCTCTGCCACAGATGCAAAAGGGAATCCTCACTGATTTATGGGAATAACACTAACTTGTCAGTAAACATTTTACATATTGCTGAGTGTATTTTAACTTACTGTTCTATATTAAAGATATTCACTCTTCTGGATGATCAGTTCTTATGCTAAAATATTACACAAGTCTGTGCATAGCAGCCTTTTAGAGCACTGATATCTAAGCTAGATTTACGTTTAGAACACGGCCACACGAGTCCTCCATTCCTCACCCAGCCTGCAATGGTAAGAGTACATGACTTATGAAGCAGCAGTCAAAATACTTTAATGACTTAACCAGAAACAAAAGAGAGAATTTTCTCAAACTGTGGTCCAACAAGCATTTGCTGGTCATATGGTACTGAGTTTCCTTGTTTCTAACTGCTAAATCATACTTAGAAATGCATGTGTGGTTATCAATGCAGTTGCTACAAAGATCTTTTTCTAATTGCAATATGCACCAAAATACAAGGCAAAACTGTCAACTCACAGAACCAACATTGGGAGCAGGGGAGAGAAATAAAAAGGCTTTCAAAGACCAAAATGACACAGATAAGGATGGCAAGAGTGAGAGATACTCAAAGCCAAGTTTTTAAGTACAAAGAGCCCAAAACTAAGCAAGCAAAGCAACCGACTTGATTCATCCTCATAAAGAGGCTTTTATATTTATCAGACATTCTTAGTGGAACAGAACATGTAATCAGTACATTTGTTATTGCAAAAATAAGCATTTTCAACCATGTCAGGGAAAATACTTACGGTAAAAGAATGGGACAAACTCAACTGTGAGGGAAGCTGGCTTATACTTCTGTCTGCTCTTCTCAACTGTGCTAAGGATACGTCTGCAAATACATTAAAAAGAGATATCCCAAAATTAGATACCAAATCTTTATTACTTATAAGAAAAGACACTGTCAACATCCAGAAATCTTCTTTTGTCTACAGGATTAAAAAAAAGCACTTCTTCCTGAAAAAATGAATTCTAGGTAACCCTGTGTCTACTGTTCCACTCCTAGAAAAGACTTAACATTTTATAATATGACATATAAAAATAAAACATAAAGCTAACAATCTAACAATGTTATTTATTCTTTGCTTGCTGTAAGTCAACAGCTGGCCTTCGAAATTTCTTAACCACGCAATTTGAAACAGTCATAAAACATTATGTGTACCCTGGGGACGTGAGGGAAGGCAAGAGGCAGGAACCAACAAAAACGGCTGTAAAGGAAACAATTCTACATTTATAAGCATCTTTTCAGAAAATGCAACCTATCTATATCACTATCTTCAGAAATTTCTTCTGCCCTAATTCCACCCTCTTCCCCTGCCCCATGTTTGTCTTCCTTCTTCCATCACTTAAGAATGGATCAAGTTTCTGAAAGCATAAAGTAATGGAAAGAGTTTCCTGTTGGTCAGAACAGATTTCTTGTTACATCCTCTGACTTAAGCTTTTTCTTAAACTCTAAAATGAATTAGAAAGTAAATTTCCTTGAATTTACAATTGACATTTAAATCATATCAAACATTCCAAAGAACATAATGGTTTTCAGTGGTGTGATTATACTGATCTACTGTCAACTTCTGCACCTTCCAAGTGCAAATCTATGACTCAGAGTACATCTACACTATTTAAGATACAGTGAGAAAGACTGGCACTATCCACACTAAATCTGGACATAGCTGGGCAGGATGTTGGAGAACCATGAAGGGTCCTGAGGGGGAGCTTGCTGCATGTGTGCAACACATCTACAGGATAAGGTGAGACTGGACCCAGGGTTTTACCAGATAAGGTAATATGAGATGCACAGGCAAGAGCAGAAGAACATTCACAGATGACATTCCACTGGAGCTTGACATGAAACAATAAATTTACTGTCTGAATCTGTTATATGCATCTAGTTAACACCAAAATAGAATTTGTGATCCTATAACTCAGCACATACCCTGCAATTCGCTGCCTCCAGTTTCGATACGGATCGTAGAGACTTTCACAAAAAGCCAATGCATGTCTTACGAATTCTTCTATGGGAGTCTGATCTGCCATTTCTTTCTCTTTTGTTTTGCTTTTTAACTGAAGAGGAAAAAAACTGTGGTCAAAAGATTTCAAAATGTTTAATCTCAAGTGCTCAGACCTATTGTTGAGATCAAATACTCTCCCACACCTCCCACTGCAGTTTTTTCTAAAAGGGGATCATATAAGCAGGGACAGGCAGTAGAGACAGGCAAAACAAGAGGCTGTTAACTTCACATACCTGCTGAATGTATAACGTGGTCATGGTGATAACATGGTTAATATACGAACACATCCCGATCTCTTCCACGTTAGCCAAATTTCTATGAAGGCAACATAAAAGCCACAGAAATGTACACAGCCTACTATTTGAGGCTAGTTCAAACAATGTTTGTTTTAGCATTCAGTTTAAAACGATATGAGAGCGTATCAGCATTTCAAGAATATTCCCCAAAAGACTGCATGTATTCAAATGTTTATTTCTGTCACAGTGAAATACTACAAGTTTTCATCTAACAGGAAGACATAAGCACAAAGCCCCAGCCCCTTGCTTTAGGCCAATTTTAACTGGAATTTGAGGTTTCAAAGGTTAAACAGATTCCCAGGCACTCTGAATAGAGAGCTCAGCAACAGCATCTGGTAACAAAGGCAGCAATTTCCATTCCTTCTACTTTACTAGACCAACAGAAGGAGACTCATTGCAGCTTCATGCAGTTTCTACAGCTTAGCAAGAATGTTACTTGTAAGTTTAGCACTTGAAATTCTCCACAAACCCAGAAACATCTAATAGGCTAAAACAGCTTATTAAATACATCAGCAGTAACACAGAAATAGCATGCACATGTAATTCTCAGGCTTGAGGACAAGCCACAAAAATCAGATACTTAAACGATGAAGTAAAAATATTTCAGCAATTAAATAAGGCTGACAACAATGGGTAATTCATCAAAACAACTACCAAAAGCAACACAGTTTATATTTAATACTGTAGGATACTTAAAACACTGCCCTACAGCTTTTCATGCTGTTTCAGGGATAAGGAGAACCAAAGGGTTCTGAAAAAGTTTCTTTAAATATTCCTTAAGAAAAAGGGATTCCTTATGATACTTTATCTCCTTCTCCCATAAATGCAGTTTGCAATAAAAGAGCAAAGCAGTTTGGAGGAACAAGCCTACAAAAGTGTCTGTTTAAACAGACTTACAGAATTAAGCATAAGTTTGAGAAGAAAGCCAGTCACACTTTAATAGTTTAGTAAGTCAGCTTCCAAATCATTTCCTAAGCTGTTTACAGAATAAGCATGCTAAGAATGTGAAACAGTTCATCCTGGACATTTATTTTTAGAGTTATATCATACTCAACACTTATGGTAGTCTGCCTTTTCCTCTGAAAAACTTTCATTATACCTGGTACACCATGCCTTGAATTCCCACAAATATATCTTATTAACAAGCATTTTAGTCTAATCACCTTCTAGTCCATTTCCCATAGCAAACGTCATTGCCAAGACAATGATATTTATCCCCTTGATTCTTTCTTCCCCTCTATTTTGAAGATTGCAACAGATATAATTTCTTGGTTTCTTCTGGCACATGTCTAACCACACTATACATGTTGTTAGAAACTATATCTATAGACTGCATCAAGGTTCCTTAAACAACAGCCTTGTTGAGGTGCCAACAAATACCTGCAAAGGATGATAAAGAACTTCACAAGCAGGAGTGACAGAGCTTGCTGCTGCTCCTCTAGTCCATCCGACATCTTCTGGACACACTGCAGCAGCTGGAGCCTCAAGACCTGAAGAATGTTATCGGGAAGCAGCGATATTCCTGGAGGAACGTCATCCACTCTAAACAGAAAGTCATACATGCCTGATGTTTTTCATTTTGCAAATGCTATATTATCAAGATATTTCAGTCTGCTTGGGTGATGTCCCAGTAAACCTGTATAATAAAGGTTACTGATCTCTAGCAACAGATGGGTAACAAACACTTCCTAACACGTTACAAGGAAAAATATGGTGTTAAAATGCCTGCTTGGTCTTCTTTTCCCCAACCAATGAATTACATGAAAAAATCCTTAAACAACACAATAAATGGATTCCTCAGCACTATGCAAATTATTAAACAGTAACTATTGAAATCCAGTTGACAAATATCCACAATGAACTTCATGTCTTTCTGACAGGAGCTACAAGGCAGTAGCAATTCACAGCAAGTTTAAATTAGGAAAAAAAATGGAAGATTAGGGCAGGCGGGAAATAACTCAGTGTCTGAATGCAGGGCAAGGGACTCTCAGCAATTCAGGCAGCTTTTGACAAATTAGTTTTGACCTATGCTTATTACTTTCTATATATCACTAACCCAGCAAACAGTTCTGTTCTGCTATCTTTTTTAGCTTTTAGCTAAAATCCTTTAGCTTTTAGCTTTTTATCTTTATTTTTACAAGACAAAAAGACTGTTGTGTTGGGATTAAATACAACAACTCAAGCACGTCCAGACTTCATCTTGGTGAGCATTGCTTTCACGTATTGCCTGCTAAACAAAAAGACTTCATAGGGAAATACCAGAGAGATCCAGGAAACAAAACAGGAACACCACTAAAACCAGCAGCTAAGCCAGTGCTCTGAGCAGCCATACAGAAACCTATCTCAAAGTTCTCAAAGTTCCTTAGGTGTGTTTTTCAGGATGCAGAGCACTGCTGAAGCTCCTTTTGGCAAGGATTCAGAGACAGCTTCTTCTGGCAGCAGGCTCTCATAGTGAAGCGAGTGCCTTCGGCATCAGTTGCTTGCCCTCCCCATGCCTGCTCAGCTCCACACAGGACAAGCTTTAGGACACAGCTTACACCAGCTTAAAAAATAGCAGATGGCAGGGAGAAAAATTACAATAAACCAAAAAAAGCCAGCTCTAAAGCTCTCTAGCATAATATTTGCATACAAAAATCATGTGCATGAAAAAGCATGGCAAAAACACAACTGCTGAGAAATAGCACCGTGACACTGGCTATTTGAGGGAAAGGGGAAACAACCGATCATTTAGCTTTCCAGAGCTGTAAAGAGCAGATTGAGGTACGGTTTAATAAAACAGCTAGGCAGGCAGAAATGACACGAAGCTCCCATGTCCTAAAAAACATGTGCCAGTCCATGTGCATAGCAAGGACTTGACACCATTCACTCCCTGGCTTCTACATAAGAGGAATTTTGTAGGAGCTAGGAATCCAACATGAGATATATTAACCACAAAATGGAGAGCAACAGCTATTTCCCATTACAACTGCCAAGAAAGCACTTGGCATCTCTGCCATAGCAGCTCCATGCCTCAAGATGCCAGCAGATCCCTGCCCTCAGGGCCCACGAGCACCACCCCTGGCAAGCTGGGAATGAGGAGGGCTGTCACATTTTAAACACTGCAATCACAAATCCAGAAGTAACTTCCCCAAAATGGCCAGCAAGGGCTTTCAGTGCTACTGGGAGCTGCCACGTACGAAGGAAACAGCAGGTCCTTCGTGCATCGTGGCCCAGTGCACATGGGCCCTGCAATAGCTCTGAGCCTGCGCTGCTGCACCAGCCCTTAGAAATCCCTGCCTTGTGCAGGAATGGCACAAGAGACCCCAATCTTCTAGGAGTCCTCAAGCAGTACAGACTATAATGATCACATGAACAACTTATTTGCACCCAAGAGCAATTTCTTACTTTATCACCACAAAAATCAAGAAGTTAGATTTGTGGATGCATATTGTCAGCTATTGCCTGACAAGACTAGCTGTGTAAAGCAACCGTTCTCCAAGGAACAAACAAAACTAAGCCACACACCAAGTCAGGTGTTGGCCGAGCTTCTTTCCTGGTTGTTGGTACCTGCCCTTATAGTCACTGACACTTATATTGTTATGTCCTTGCATTGCTTTGAAGATGGTACACAGTTTTCATCTGCCATTCCAGGCTTTTAAAATGAAGTTACATTGCTCTTTAAATTGTATTCATCCTATTAGGGCTTAAACCCACTCACTGGAACTTTCTCCCTCCCCTCCAAAATGCCCACACTTAGAGATACGGGCTGTGGAAAAACAGATGTCACTTTCCAGCATCAAGATTGCGGTAAATGTGTAATCAGCATGATTATCATTTTCCCTTCATCATTTCTATGTGGCTTTCAAGTCACTGTATAAGAGTTCAGTGTCTATGGTACTGCTGATGAGCTTCACTTAAGCTCCTTTGCTTGACTGCAAGCAAACAGAAACCAGAAAAGAACACGATGACACTGTGGAGTCCTTTGTTTTTTCCAGAGGTATTAAAACTAAGTGATAATTTCTTTCCTTCAACGAGGGGAAAAAAACCTCCCACCAGCTGGTAAAGGTTTTATCCTTCCCACTGTAAATACTGAAAAGATGTAATAAATGGCTTAGGAAAAGAACAGAGGAGTGCATTAATCCGTTGTGCTCAATGCACACAGCTGTCGGCATAGCTATTATATTGTAGCCTATCCTCACCTTCTGCAGTAAAATCACTGTAAACACCATAGTGAATCACTTCATTTAGAGCTACATATAACAACATAAAATGAAAAAAACACAATACAACTTGTATCCACTCATCCTCCAAAGCTAAAAACTTCCAGTTCTGTGTTATGGAGCATCTGTCAAATTTCAGATATCTGGAAATTAAATGTTTTAAAGTACAGAAGCAATTTCTTTATCAATTAAATGCAACTACCAATGGAGAGTCCCTCCTTCAGGAAAAAAACAGCAGTTTCGTTAAGTGCAGTGAGGAGTGGGGAGGGATGTTGAAAATAAGAGACAATCCCCAGGAAAAACTGGAAGATGACAAAACCATGTATTCTGAAAGGTTGGTTTTGTCCAGACATCTGGACAAGCTTTTTTCTTCCTGCACAGTAGCTCACCATTTACTGGTTTTTACCCTTCAATGCCAAAAGTCTTCCAGGGATACAGGAGAGCTTTAAACAATATCAAGATCCATACTGGGGAAAAAAAATATACTCCAGACAGACTCTTCTTTTCCTTGTTTGAGCCAGTATCATGTATCACTTCCAAAACTGAGTGACAGTTATTGTTTTTTTCAGTAAGAGGAAAGAACTCCAATAAATATAATAAAGATTAGGTATGAAGGTATGACACGGTGGGGCTATAAGGAAAATATTTGATGTGCAACCACATTGTGTATTTAGATACAGACACACATCAACCCTCTTCTACTAACAGAAGGTCTTGACTAGTTTCAAGCAACTTTGGCCAAGTGAGGCAGTAGCACAAAAATAAAAGATTCCTTTTAGGACTGTGAACAGAGACTGTGTGGCAATATGGAACCACTCAGGAACACTTCATTAAGAGAGAGAGGTCACTGTGTAAACTCCTTTCTTCCCCAACACCCTAAGAAAAGGCCACAGGAAGCCAGGCTTTCATGGTGCCACACAGATCTACTTGTTCTCCTTCGCAAGCTCAGTAAGCTCCACATTGCAAACACCTGCAATAAGAACTAACACAATAACCCAAAGAGATACTATTTTTCACATGCTGCATTATATCCCAAAACCAACCCCAGAAGTTTTAACTTTAATATCTATTCTCAAACAGTGCAATATTTAAGCCCCGCTGCTGAAGCGCAGGAATTATGTCCTTATCCTTATGTTGTTTTGGTATTTTTCTCCACATCTGTTCCAAAAAGGAGTCTAAATCCACATGGGTCTACTCTTCCTGACTAAATCACTAATCCTGTCATTAACCTCAGAAAAAGAGAAGATTTTTACGCTCACAGAAACATTATTTAACACAACCAATATAGCACTATTGTTTCACCCAGCTAAGCCTCTTTTTTTTTAAAAAATCATTTGCTATGTTGCTGCATAGAGAAACAAAGGGAAAAACAATACTCTTTCACTGTTCCATTTCAAAATTAGACTATATGTTAAAGGACAGCTTTTGCCTGAACTAGTTACAATATCCATTATGCACACCTGCATTATGGTAGCTGACAAGAAATATAACAAATCTTAGAACAGACCTTTACAAAGAGCACAGAATTAACTGGCAGCATACTAGTAATTTTACTGTATATTTTGCAATAATACAGGCATTGGAAAAAAGATTTAAACACAAATAGCAAAGAAGTTCAGTTTTAAATCCACTGAGATCCAGTTTCAGCATTCTTCATTTCTTTGCAACAGTGGAGGCTATCACTTACACCTCAAACAGGATCTGATCCAAAGCCCATTAGAGAATTTCCATTGATTTCAACAGGGTTTGGACAGAAGCCATGGTGCAGGGAGAGCCATTCCTTTACTCACTCACCAGCAGCGATAGCAGCTATAAGACTAATGCCAATTCTCATGATTTGACTTCTGTAACTCTTGTTTTTCTTAAAAGCTTTTATGCAAGCTTCTCGGCTTTCATCTAAAAGCCTTTAGAAAAAAACACTTTCTATTTCTCATAGTTGCAAAACAAGTCTTGAAAAAATGATCCTTAAAACACAGAAAGCAAATTCAAAATACTAAGTATGGAACTTTGCAAAACAGACTTTCACATCCATCTCATGGCTATTTCAGTACTTAGAATTAGTAACACTGCCAAAGTCAGTCAACTGAACGCTTCACCAAGGCAAAGGAGGCAGTCACTTCTAAATAATCTATCATTTGTGCATATTTTACCTTTACAAGAGGTGTTCAGTCAAATCATGCAAACTATTTACAAGGCATTCATTTAAACTTAAAACAATGGCTGAATTACAAAACTCTATATTTTTCCTGTATCCAATCTTCTGCTACAGATGCATGCTATAATAATCATTAATATGATTCAACAACATGCAAGAAATGACTATATTTCTATCAGCAAGAACAGGTGAATACTGATGCCATCATTTGATAAAACGCAGATATCACTATTTACCTAGTTTCATCACTTCCAGCCCAACTTGACCTTTAAAAGAACGAGGAGTGCCACCCAACAATAAAATCTGTCTTTTGTCTAAAAGCAGCATTGAGGTGAACGAGACTGGGATGTCAGCCAGGTCTGTTTCAGGTAAAGATAAACAGGTCTGTAATTCTACATACCTAGTTGGCAGCTTTTCAAAGTCCACATCCAGAAACTGTTCATAACTAGAAACAAAACTATCCAACCAGAGCTTCAGGTAATCTGGATCTTTCTGTAAAAGAAAAAACACACCTTATAGAATACAATACCTGAAATGATCAGCCAACAGCTCTGTTAACTATTAATTTCAAAAAAGTGTTTTAAGTGCTTCAATCAACAGGACAGCAGTGAATAGACTGATTTTTAGGACTCAAATATAAAACCTTCTGCCCTTTGAAATTCTCAACTATGTTGTACTGATGTGACAGTCTGCCATTGAGTAGATACTCATTAGTTCATGTGTGTCTACTTACTATTATCAACACCAAAAAATGATTTCTAAACAAGCTTTAGTAACCGTGCAACGTTACTAAATTATTACTTAGATCAGTTTTCTAATGCACAGCAACTGTTCTTCACAGTATGCAAGTTGGAACATTTCTTACAGCCTATAAAATTCAGTAAGAACCTCAGTGACAATCCTAATTACAACAATTTCTTTAGTTTCACTCATTGATTCACAACAGTGAAAGAAGGAACTTCTTCCAGGAACAGGCTGCTAGCAGCAGATTAGAGCTGCATGAAGTATATCAAGGCATTACACACAACCTGCGAGTTGTGCACTAGGTATCTATAAAACAAAAGCTTTAGTTTAGGATTCCTAACCGTAAAAACACACCCAAAATCTGTCAGAATACATGTTATCTTATGCCACTTCACTTAAACTTTACAAAGCATACTGTCAGATCAAAGCTAACATCTTCCTCCACAAGGATATAAAGCATCCCAGTCATGTGTATGGATACACACACATACACTCACATATTCTATACAAGGTTTATAAAATAAACATTTACATACAGTATTATAAGTGTTAGACATTTAAAACCTAATTTCTAACTTATAACATTCTGCAAATCTTTGAACCTTTTGCTCAGATTTCTTTCGTCTATTTCCTTCCTTCTTCCCACTCGTGCTTTATACGTAGCTACAGATGCTTGCAATTAAGACATTATTTCCTTGCAGTGTTAAGAGCAAGGAGCAACATGTGAATAATCCATATACTCTACTCTGGGGTGACATTGGTGATAAAGAACAAATCAAACAAGAATGACACGCACTGCCTTCCTGGTTCAAGGTCGCTGAATAAACTAGAGGCTCCAAGACAAAAAGAAAACAGCAAAAAGGAAAAAAAGAAACCCATAATAGGAAGCACTCCAAAAGCCACTCTCCAAACATCTTTCCATTTTAAGTATAAGAAGCATAACAGTCCCTTTCTTACTCAGGACCTTACTTCCTCTGCAAAGCAAGACCTCTAACTCAAGTAAGAAGGGTCAGAGTCACATTGACAAAATAAACATCACGATCACTGTTAATCATATACAAAATGCTTTCAGATAAGGTGATAACAGGCACTAAACTACAGCTTATTTACTTCCTTCTCCTTCACTTTTTGTCACTGTTTTCCCCTACTGCTCCTTTTCCCATTCTTCTTCCTTTTTACTCCTAATTTCCCCCAGCTTCATGAACTCATCTTCCCCTCCTTGCCTCTGCTTTTATTTCCCTTTCAAATGTTTTCTTTTTGAAGTCATGACATACTTTTCAATCTCCAGAATGACAGATACTTCAGAAGAATCTAGATTTAAAAGCTTTAACTTTCTTATAATTCATAAGTAGTTAGTTTAGCCACATGCAAACCATTTGGCAAGGTATGATTTCAAAAGATTGAGCATAGCTCAGGCTGCACTAGCAAAGTCATTAGTAGCCATATAAATATATCTAAGCTTTTGCTTAATTAATAGCTAGGGTAGTGCTCATGAAAGCACAAAAACTGAATCTATTTGACTTTTTTCCTGCTGTTGAAAATAACTGCTTTTACTTCATGTGCAAGTTCTCCTTGAAATATAACGTGAATTACTAAAACAACTATAAGTATTTTTAAATAAAAATGGTTTGTTGACACAGCTGAGGTTCATCTCTAGTTACTGACAGTAACCTACTGTAAGAAAACTTTCTTGACCACGTGCCATTAGAAAACCATGCAAATAATATTATCTGACTTAATGTTGTTTTAGCAAAATGTTGAGAAGGGAAGGGAGTAGAGAAGACAGAAAATTACGTTAAATGCCTGCTTGGTCCTTTTTAATGATAGTCTAAATCTGCTTCAAGCTTAAGATTAAATTAGAACTTTATCATTAACCTCTGATGCCTTTTCCAAACAGTGCAGACTAGCTTTAAGAGACAACTGCCAGACATAAGACAGGCAAAAAAAGTACTATCTAGCTGAAAAATTTTATAAAAGGCTACAAGTTTTGGCTTACTTGCAGTGCACTTACAAGTCTACCCACTTGGCCACTAAAACTCCTCTGAGGGAAGCAAACTCAGGAGGCAGTTCTTGCATTCTAAACACACAAACAATTTGGGGGAAAGGGGGTAGAAAGAAAAAACATGAGCTACAGTATTTTGTTACCTTTAGCACACTCATTAACCAAACCGTCTTCCAGCTCAACTCCTGCCAGAACACTCACTATATATAATCCAAAGTTATTAAAATAATCATCTTCAATATAAAAATACCAGGAACACTACTGACGCGTGTCAGCGAAAAATAGTTAAGGTATTTGACTCATTCCAAATCACATCTAGAGATTTCTATCCAACAGCATTAACTCAACATCACCTCAAAAAGCAAAGTCAGAAAGCCAACTAGATGACTTAGCAAAAGAATCTATACAAGAAGTCTGTTATGAACCATCCATAAAAGTATGCCATCTTTATAGAAATAAACATTAATGAAGACCTATAAGCTAGAAGTACATCATTCCATGAAAAAAAAGTAATCCAATACTAAACAGAGTTTTGTACAAATGCAAACAGAGAAGCTATTTCAAGGATGTTGAAAGAGAAGTTAAAAACAGCTTTCAAACTTTGGATCTGGTCCAGCTCTCCCTTTTTCTGTATTAGCAGTAAAGCTACCATCAGTCTAAATTCCATAACCTGCACCCGTTACCTGCTCAAAGCTCTATGATACTTCAACTTTACTGAGGCAGTTTTTAGAAAGCCAACTTAAAGGTACAAGTGTCAGCCATGGCAAAACAGGCACAAAAATGTGCATTCCTAAAACACAGCTGAACACCAAATACCTGCCTTTCTGAGGACCAGTCTACTTGCTTCAAAGGCATCTTGGCATTTTAGCCAGAGTGTGATGACAAATTGAGAAATGTGTCTATTTGATTTAATATCTCAATTTCACAAAAGTAGATGCCAACGGTATCAACTGCTTCCTCTGCACTTTTTCCCCTCTATTTTCTCATGAAAGAGGCTGCAAGCCAAATACCAAAGTTTGTCTGTTTTCCTTGGGAAATCAATTTCCCAAAGCAATCTGCAGAGCAACCCGTCACGCACCTGTATTGCCACATGGCAGGAGGAGGCATCCCACACTATAGGAATAGCTCCGAATTTGTGTTGTCCCCCAATACCACATCACTGAACTGCAACCCCAGCTCCAACCAATTCACTACAGATTGACTACTCCTTTTCCTCTGCATTTCCACCAAGAAAGTGGTAAGGTGCATTTAGCTAGACAATAATGACATATCTTAAGTACTCATAAGCAGTAAAGGCAGCAAAACCCCTGGAAAATATTCTCTTATTTGCCTGTTCTATAATTATCATCTTGCCAAGTCACTCTGCACACACACAGCTGGAGGCTGCACACTGGACAACAGCAGCAGCCTGTTTTTAGCAGCGCGTGCTGGGAGCTCACCATGCCACTACAGCACAGATACACTGCAGTATCAGCTATGAGAAGGCACCACAAGGACAGACTGGGATAAACCTGTTTTAATTTGCTATTCTTTCCGAGCCCTCACACACTCCAGTCATGACCTGTAAGACCTGTTAGAAGGGCAGCAGGAAATTTGATTTGTATGTCAGTAAAAACAGGGAAAAAAACTGCATGTGGTAAGACAACATCACCTATCAGTTACAGCTTTTCAATCACTAGGAAAAGATGTACCAAAATGTTGAGTTTGGCAGTTTGTAGCTTTCTTCCAAATTCACAGTCTTAAGTATTTCACCTACCTGCCTGGGACTTGCCTAACTTTTTGCAAGACGATTTAGGTATCTTATTTAAATAAGACTGCATCTATAGAAATTGCATCTACTGAAACTTCTAGATGACTTACTCCAAAGCTCAAAATTCAAGTTCAGGAAGTTTATTTCTCTTGAGTGACCCACTGAAACAATCTAAATTTTAGCAAGACCATTTTAAAGATTTCATTGTAATAGTGTGTGTGTGAAATTAAAAAACTGCAAATCCTTTTAGTTGATAATTATGAAGCAGGCCACAAATATGCAGGGATTAAGCTAAAGCTTCTGAGCTCAGGGAATTGTAATGAAGGCCTGTGAAACTGCTAGTAGCAGGAGCCATTCACCTGCAGTAAAATATTTTAAGCCTATTAAACCAAGTGTAGCTCACAGTACCTGAAAGTGAAAACACTTCCTTGTTTCTTCTCTCAAAAACAACTTTTTCAAGACAAAAACCTTTAGTTCTTTATTAATAATATTCTTTCAACTCTTTACAGTGTTAAAAAAATAAAGGCTGCAAGACCACTGATAGGGACCAAAAAACAGAATTCCCCAAATTTTTTTCTTTAGCTCCATGGTTAGTACAACCATAGGAAAAGCTGCTAAATAAATACAGTTGACCTTCACACTATTCTACATTATGTAAAGTGATGCTGTAGTAAAATACTGCCAAGAACGTTTCCCATAAAAGACCAACAAATTAACAATTTTTAGATACATAAGCCTGCAGCACAACTGTGACACAAGCTCTCAATACTGAGCCCTTGCAAACACAAAAGCCTGGCATAGACAGAAGGACATGGCTTTGATGTCAAATTAAATGAAAAAATAGCCTAGTGTCGTTTTGCAGCTTGAAATTTTGCCTTTGCTCACTACTGGGGTGAAAAGCCACCTCTTCTTAGATGAGACACCTAGGGACGTGGTTTAGCAGGTACGGTGCTGAAGGGTTTACGGTTAGACTTGATCTTAAATGTCTTTTCCAAC